ACATTCAGAAGGTCCTCGAAAGACCTTCACATGTATAGTTTCCGGACTCGAGTGGTCCTGGGACCAGCTTAGTCCCTATTTTCATCCGCCCCTACTTGTATGAGCACTCGAGAGTGATGAATGCTATGCTACCATAGTCATAGATAGATCACTACTACAAAAGGGTCTTATAGTGTCAGTAGGTGGTGTCGGTTTAATATAATATAGTGTCGAACTAGACAATTGCGACACTTATTGAACATGACGTCGGATTTACTGTCACTTATATGTGTCATAAACATTTAATGTCGCTTTTAAACCGACGTAAACATTTAATGTCGCTTAAAACCGACATACATTTTAATAATTTTTAAATACTAGTGTCGCTTTAAATAAAACAGTGTCGCTTTAAATAATACAGTGTCGCTTTTAAGCGACATTAAATAATACAATGTCACTTTAAATAAAACAGTGTCGCTTTTAACAATATTAAATATAACATGAACTTATAATATTTAGTAATATAAGAATTTATTATGTTAAATTAATAATTAGAATTTATTTATACTTTCACTAGTGTAAATATTTTAAATTGAAGATCGAGTTCGTTCATTGTATTCATATAGGGTCAAGGAGTGTAGCTGTAAAAAATCATCAAAATTGGAGTTCAAATCACCGTTAAATCGTTATTTTTCGTTCATAACCGTCGAAAAGTTTTGTCCCGTTACTTGATCTCTGAATGTTTATTTTTTGCCATTTTTGACGTATGCGATCTCGAAGCATGCATAAACAAGTTTGATGGTTGGATCATTGAAATTAGTTTCGTAAAATGCGTATGCGATCTCGAAGCATGCATAAACAAGTTTGATGGTTGGATCATTGAAATTAGTTTCGTAAAATGCGTATCCCATCAAAACGATAGATTTACTAACACTTAGAATTTATTTATACTTTTTATTAAGTATAATATAAGATTTTGTGGTATCCACTAGAATAAATATTTTAAATTGAAGATCAAATTCATTCATCGTATTCATATAGGGTCAAGGAGTGTAGCTGTAAAAAATCATCTAAATCGGAGTTAAAATAACCGTTAAATTGTGATTTTTTGTTTATAACCGTCGAAAAGTTTTGTCTCGTTACTTGATCTCTGAATGTTTGTTTTTTTCCATTTTTGGTGTATGCGATCTCGAAGCTTGTATAAACAAGTTTGATGGTTGGATCGTTGAAATTAGTTTCATAGAATGCGTATCCCATCAAAACGATAGATTCATTGACACTTAGAATTTATTTATACTTTTATTAAATATAACATAAGATTTGGTGGTATCCATTAGTGTAAATATTTTAAATTGAAGATCGAATTCATTCATTGTATTCATATAGGGTCAAGGAGTGTAGCTGTAAATAATCATCTAAATCGGAGTTAAAATAACCGTTAAATTGTGATTTTTCGTTTATAACCGTCGAAAGGTTTTGTCTCATTACTTGATCTCTGAATGTTTTTTTTTTGCCATTTTTGGCGTATGCAATCTCGAAGCATGTATAAACAAGTTTGATGGGGGATCGTTGAAATTAGTTTCGTAGAATGCGTATCCCATCAAAACGATAGATTCACTAACACTTAGAATTTATTTATACTTTCATTAAATATAACATAAGATTTTGTGGTATCCACTAGTGTAAATATTTTAAATTGAAGATCGATTTCATTCATTGTATTCATATAGGGTCAAGGAGTGTAGCTGTAAAAAATCATCAAAATCGGAGTTCAAATCACCGTTAAATCGTGATTTTTCGTTGATAACCGTCGAAAAATTTTGTTCCGTTACTTGATCTCTGAATGTTTGTTATTTGTCATTTTTGGCGTATGCGATCTTGAAGCATGTATAAACAAGTTTGATGGTTGGATCGTTGAAATTAGATTTGGAGAATGCCTATCCCCATCAAAACGATAAATTCACTAACACTTAGAATTTATTCATACTTTTATTAAGTATAACATAAGATTTTGTGGTATCCACTAGTGTAAATATATTAAATTGAAGATCGAATTCATTCATTATATTCATATAGGGTCAAGGAGTGTAACTGTAAAAAATCATCTAAATTGAAGTTAAAATAACCGTTAAATTGTGATTTTTCGTTTATAACCGTCGAAAAGTTTTGTCTCGTTACTTGATCTCTGAATGTTTGTTATTTGTCATTTTTGGCGTATGCAATCTTGAAGCATGTATAAACAAATTTGATGGTTGGATCGTTGAAATTAGTTTCGTAGAATGCGTATCCCATCAAAACGATAAATTCACTAACACTTAGAATTTATTTATACTTTTATTAAATATAACATAAGATTTGTGGTATCCACTAGTGTAAATATTTTAAATTGAATATTGAATTCATTCATTGTATTCGTATAGGGTCAATGAATGTAGCTATAAAAAAAATAATCAAAATTGGAGTTAAAATCACCGTTAAATCGTGATTTTTTGTTTATAACCATTGAAAAGTTGTCCCGTTATTTAATCTTTGAATGTTTGTTTTTTGCGCTTTTTTGAAGTATGCGATCTCGAAACATATATAAACAAGTTTGACGGTTGGATCGTTAAAATTAGTTTCGAAGGATGCGTATCCCATCAAAACGATATATTCACTAACACTTAGAGTTTATTTATACTTCCATTAAGTATAACATAAGATTTTGTGGTATCCACTATTGTAAATATTTTAAATTGAAGATTGAATTCATTCATTGTATTCATATAGGATCAAGGAGTGTAGTTATAAAAAAATAATCAAAATCGGAGTTAAAATAACTGTTAAATCGTGGTTTTTCGTTTTGTAACCGTCGAAAAGTTTTGTCCCGTTACTTGATTATGTATTTTAATATCAATTAGACTATGTTTCAATTAATGTGTGATGATATTTTATCATAAAATTATATTATTGTTTTTTATTATGTATTAAATATTATTTATTAAAATATTATATGACATAACTTGAAATATTTAGGCGGGAATGAAAATTTGAAATGTTTTAGGCGGGAATGAATGTTTGAAATGTTTGAAATGTTTTAGGCGGGAATGAATGTTTGAAATGTTTGTGTGTCAGACCTTGTGTTGGTTTTAACCGACACAACCTCTACTTATTTCGACGCAAGCTTTGAAATATTTTAGTGTGTCAGACCTTGCGTCGGTTTTAACCGACGTAACCTTTTCTTAATTCGACGCCAGTTGCACTATCAAGTCTGTCACACTCACATCGCTTTTAACCGACGCAATATGTTATTATTTCGACGCCACTTGCTTTTCAGTCAAGTGTGTCAGATGTGGTGTCGGTTTCAGCCGACGCAAAGTCCAAATATTTCAACCATATTTATACCCCTTTCTTCCCCATTACTTCCATGCTTTCGTTTCCGTCTCTCAGTTCCTTCTTTGGTTTTGCCCCGTCTCCTTCTCCCATTTCAGCCTTACTCCTTCTCCTTTCCACTAACTTTTGCTATGGATCAACAAAGTGAAGATAAACGTTCTGAGGAACTTCATTTCGAGGAGGAAAAGTTCAAAGGTGGTTCATTTGTGAATTATTATTAAATTTTTGTTTTGTGTTTAAACTAGTATTAGGCTTAAACTAAAAATTTACTTTTGTTTCTTGGTTGCTAATTGTTTTTTTGTGTTAATAAGGAACATCTCGACGGAGGCGCGGACCCTCAGTTCCCAAATGGACAAAACAACTTTGCTCGTTTGATTCGTCTGGAAAATGCGTTAGTGATAACTCTAGTGCTTTTTCAAGATATGTAGCAAGGGAGGTTAGAGAGTATAGAAATCTCCCATTGACGACTGATTGCGTAAGATTAAGGAAGAAGAAAATGAAGTTTTCTGGAATAGAATAAAGGAATAAGATTAATCGGCTGTTGAAAGCAATGAACCATACAACTGGTTCAAAATCTTTTGCAAGAGTGTGGCAAGAATTTTGTATGAGTTGTACATTTTTAAGATATTTGTATATTCTGTATGAGTTTTTGTATATTATGTGGAATATTGGATATAAAATATTTGTACATTTTGGCACTATTTTTATTGTTAATAATTTTTGTTAAGGTTTGTTTTGGCCTTTACATGAAATTTATTAATTTGGTTATATAATTTTTTTTAGTACCAATTAATTGAAAACGATGCAGATTCTCGTATTTTTTATTATTATTAACAAAGATGGTGTCGTACTAGTTTGAATATTTTATTTATTTAATTGTTATCTGACGTCGGTTTAGGCATATTTTATTTATTTAATTTTATCACAATGTCGGTTAAAACCGACAGTAGGGTGGATATATTATAATTAAATTACTAATGAGCGTCGCTTTAAACCGACGTAATGTTCAAGTATACGTCACTTTAAATCGACGTTAATGTCAGTGTCGCTTTTAACCGACGCTGCATAGTGTCGGATTAAGCGAAACAACCGACACTGAAGGCCTTTCGTGACGCTAGCATTAGTGTCACTATTCTAATCCGACGTTGCATTGTTTTATGTCGGATTTTTGCCAAATTGCCGACAGAAATTGTGTTTCTTGTCGGTTTTTGCTTCGCCAGTGATAGCCTATATTGTAGTAGTGGATGTTCGAGGTGATGGATTGGAAACATAGTGGACAAGGAAGCGAATGAAGCAGCATCGTCTACTATCATTGAGAATATTGTTGCAAATTCGTCTCAATGGATATAAATAGTAGGGAATCGACTAAAACTAGAAGCACCGCGTATTAAGCATGTTCGTCCAATGTGGAAATAGCGGCTATAGCAACGAAGGTGGATATCGTGGTTCACCGTGTTATCTAAGAATGTGGAACCATAATTTGCTTAAGAATACCTAACTTAAAATACCCAATTCGACTCAAAATAGCCACCCATTTCGAAATAGCACAGCTAACGCAGAATCATTTTCGCTTGTAATCTTCCCCTGCCTGCTTCTCCCTGCACAACGCACAAACCTCTTGTCTCTTCATCTTCTTCCCTTCACCTGTCCCAATGATAATCACAGGTATGGATTTTTTTCTCAACACATAGTTTGCTAATTTGATTCTTTTTTTCTATGTCTTTCCAGATTGTTTCGTCAACTTTACACCTATATATATTTTAGGGTTTTATATTGGGATGATTCTGATTTTTTTTTGTTTGGCGTCGCTAGAACTCTATCATTCAGATGATTATTTGTCTGATTATTCTTTCCTCGTCCCTATATCATAGCAAAATTCTTATGAGTTTTTTAAATGGTAGTATATGAATTTCTAGCTTTTGCGGCATGTTGAACTTGGCCAGCAGACTGACCAGTACCTCCTCTCGTTTTATAAACCCTACATACGTAAAAGCTTTAGGGTTTTTTTTTTCTATTCTTCTTCCAATTTTTATTCTGACATTTTTAGGGATCTTTTTGCAGTCAGATGAGATAGATTTGATAATCTTACTAACATGGCAGACAGCGACCTCCTGGAACGAGAGACGCAACTGGTCCCCTCCGATGATGGCGCCTGTATTTTCACCGATGACATCATCCTTGAGATACTGTCACGGGTTCCGGGGAAGTCTTTACTACGATTTCGGCGGGTATGCAAGTCATGGTGTACCCTAATCTCCGGCCCTAATTTTGTTAGAAAACAGCTCTGCCAAGCAGTTAGACACAACACCAACTGGAGGCTGCTAATGTTTACAAGCTGGAGGCATCTCAAGTCCATTGACTACGAATCGTTATTGTCACTATTAGCGAAGAACAAGCACGAAAATATTAGTCGTATAGTTGTTCCACGCTGCAGAAAGCACAAATTACCAATAATGCAGCCTGAAAGAAGATTCGTGCAGATTATGGGTTCTAGCAATGGCCTGATCTGTCTTTATATAAACTGTGAGAGCGTTTTCTTGTGGAACCCTTGTACTGGAAATTCCAACGAGATACCAAAACCTGCTCCAGAAGTTTTCCTACCGTCATTTTATGGATTCGGTTATGATTCTAAGACTGATGATTACAAAGTCATTTGCCAATGTCTAACTGAACATTTAACCTACGAAGTTTTTCTCTATACCCTGAAAATGGGTTCATGGAGGATTCTTGAAGGTCTCAATGATCGTGAACTGAGGAGGCGAGGTTTGTTGTTCAATGGTGCCCTACATTGGATAGACTATAAACATGGTGAAGATGGGAAAATACGTGCGAAATCAGCAATTGGGCGAGTAGGTGCGAAATCAGTAATCACCTCTTTCGATCTAGCAAGGGAAAAATTTCAGGAGCTAGTGCCGTTACCCAGTGTTCTCGAAGATCAATCAATCGGGTATGATGTTGGGGATTATAAATGTTCTAACCTTTTGTGTTTACTCACCAATTTCAGCCTTTGGAATACGGAAATATGGGTGATGATGGAATATGGAGTTGAGGAATCTTGGACCAAACTGATTTTGCTGGAAGATCAAAACCTGTCACATACAGTGTACGTTTCACAGGATGATAAAATTTTCATACAGTCAACACAGGGCGGATTAAAACTATATGATATAAAGGAAAACAGATATAGAAGTGCTCTTAAACCTAAAAAGTCTCTGTCGCTTGACTTAGCTATGTATGTAGAGACCTTAATTTCACCAGTAACTGGGAAGTAGTGAAAACATCCAAACTCAGGTTGCGAAGCTTTCGTTCGCTCCTTTCTTAGGATGTAATGTAACTTTATTTTCATTCGAAACATCATATTGACATAGTAAGATTATGTAATACTCGTTCATATATTCAGTGTTCTTTTTGAGAAATGAAAACGAAGCAGAAAGAAGTTGTAGATGATGCAAGCAAATCCACAATGGGCAACGTACGACATACATGTTACTGATGGATATAAGCAACAACTATGGAGTCCTTGTTTAAACTGATAGCTACTAGGCAACGAAAAGAAGTCGATGATTATGGAATGTACAAAAATTTGAGAATCGTTCCCTAAAATAATCATCAGTGAGAGCAAAAGTTGTTGCACATGTCTATCAGCAACAACTTGTCAAAGTTTTTGCATAAAACTATCCCCTAGACTCCAAAGCTAACGACCCTGGCAACGACGTCTGTAACATTTAACGGGCTCACGTTTGCCTAGTTTTAGAGCTGTTGACATGACTTGAAGGTTTTTTTTACATCTTTGTAAATATATTTGGCTGCTGAAGGTTATAGGATCTAATTGTTTGTCCAGAAAGTCAATTTCCCCCGTGTTTTCACACAAAAGTTAAGAATAAAAATAAAATAAAACGTGGGGTGTATGAAGAGAGTGTGGGATGAGACTATTACGGGAAAGTATCTAGAGTGTATTAGGATAAATTTTAATAGAAAAACAAAATATGGGGTGTTTTTCAACTTCGGGCGTTAATAAAACAACCAAAAAAAAATCTACCTGGTGTATTGAGTTGGAATTTTAATAGATTTTAATGGATTTATAGAGATTCCATGTAAGACTTTTGATGAAGTTTAATTGATATATAGAGATTCTATGTAAGGTTTTGATTTAATTCTTTCGAAATCTCAGGAGGAGAAGTGAAATTTGTAAATTCTTTAAATACACTATAAAATGGGTAATGCTAGGGAGACTAAATTTGTAAACTAAATTTTGGAAACTAAATGACATGAAAATTGATGATTGGTTTATTACCTAAGCGTTGATAAACGTGTTCATTCCTAATACATCACTTATAGTTGCAAATTTTGTCTTCAAATTTAGGGGGTGTAGTCAAATTAAGATTTGAAAGGATTTTAAAAGACTTTAGAATCAACTTGTAGTCAATTAGGATTTTTAAGAGGATTTTAAAGGACTTTAAAATCATGGTGTAGTCAAAGTAAGATTCAATAGGATTTGAAAGAATACATCCAAATCTAGGTGTAGTCAATTAAGATTTAAAATTCTTGGTACAAATCTGTAGGTATTCAAAATGTTATGGATTTTAATGGATTTTATTAAGTAATGGATTTTGGAGGATTTGGGAGCCAATTTATGAATAAAAAGGGCTGTGAAGAATCTCATTCACACCCCTAGGATTTCTTTCTTTAAACTAACTTCTCTCTCGTCATGCTCTCGATGATGTACTCTTGCGACAACTCATTCTTCTCATTGGCGTCCACCTTGGCAAAAGTACATCTTCGTGCTTGAGCTTGGTAGCTGCTCGTCACGGGGTTTCAAGGCCTGGTAGTGTCCGCACCACGGCGCTAGTTTTAAACCCTCATCGTTTTCGTCGGGATTTAATTGCACTTTGCGCTGCTATTTTGTGTTGTCTAATAAGAGCCAAATGGCAATTAAAACCCATTTAAATTTTCGGTACAAAGTTGTCAGCTTCTGATTGCTTCCTTTGTTGAAATTTTGAAACCGTCAGCAGCTGCTTTCGCTTTCTTATCTTTCCTTTTCTTCCATTTTCTCAGATTGGGAGAGAGAAAGATTCTAATGGTGGAGAGAGATTTTTCACATTGACCAGCAATTAACTCAAAACATCTTTCACATTTAATTGTTGATTCTGTATTTATCTATTTAGCATTTTCATTAACAAATATTGGGTGGGGAGGATATTGATGCATAGTACTAGTTTATCTATGTATAGTAAACCAGTACATGACCTTGAGCTTTTACAATGTGTTTTTGTTGTGGTTGCTTACTTTGTGTGTTATATTTCTATATCATTTATGTTGTAGGAATCAACTATAAATCTATAGAAATCCATGAAATAAGTTCGTACAAATCCATAGAATCTACAATAAAAATCCATATAAATCTACCAAAATCCATATGGATTTGTACAGTCTATTAAAATCCTTTAGAATCTGTCACTTAAAGAAATCCATTAAAATCCTCTAAAATCTAAATTGACTACACCCCCCCTTAGTCTCCATAGCATTACCCCTATAAATATCTCTAATTCACTCAAATTCCTCAACTTTTTAAAATTCTTTAAAATCAATTCTTAATTGAATACATCCAGATTTCTAACCATTTTAATATACTATCTTAAAAATCTTGATTGAAAACACCATAAATTCAGAAAATCATTAAAATCCTGACCTAAATTTTTGTTGTTGTCAAAAGATAGACTTTATTTATGATCTAATCGAAATGTTTACTTTTGTAGCAAGAATGTTAAATAAAAACTCATGGCCAATCTTGTCCCAAATAAACGAACCACCATGTTTGGCACTAACGAGGCAACCATGTGAGAAACTAGGTTGCTATCCCGCGACACAAACCCAAACTTGATCATCACCAACATGCTTCACCAAATAATCAATATCAAACAAAAGACAGTCCAAATCAGCATCCACTTCAATCTCCTTGTTAATCATTTGCATCAGCACCTGGGCATCTGATTCAATCTCCAACTTCAAGAATCCTTCGTTTTTTTGCAGAACACAAGTGCCGCGCGAATACCCTCTGCTTCTGCCAAGATTGCCGAGTTAAAGGGCCTCTTCCCCGCCCTTCCTACTCTTCGCAAACACCCTGCAAAATCCCTAATTACCCAGCTATAAACTCCCAGCCCCGTTTTCGAGTTCCACGATCCATCACAATTTACTTTCAAAGTACCGAATTTCGGTTTCCTCCACACTTCAGTCGCCCCACCTTCCTCCCGCACCCCCTTTTTGTTTGACTTAACCAAGGAATCCCGCACATCTTCTCAATTACCCTATGCTCACCCACATTGCCTCCATCAGATTCCATGGTTTCCCATTAAGCACCACGTCATTTCTGCATTTCCAAATTCTCCAAAGCCCATAGACCATATCCCGAAGAGTCTCGTCATGCATTGCCATCTCTTTGATACGTAACTGCAGAGCCTCCCAACATCCTCTAAAGTCTTCACCCACCAGAGAAGACGAATCAAATTTGTAAAGGGCAACAAAACCAAAAAACATTATTGAATTCACACTGGAAGAAAAGATGTTCCTCCGTTTCCTCCTCGGCACCACAAACCGCACACCTGCTATCCACATTCATGTGTCTCCGAAGTAAATTCCTTCTTACTGCCAGCGAACCGTTGCAACATCTCCACATAAATTTTTTAAACTTATTCAGAACATGAAGTCCCCAAATTCCCTTCCACATCCAGTCTCCTTCAGCCTTCCCACTACTCATGCCCGTATCCCTTCTTCCAAACTGCCCATTCACTTGCAGCTCCATCTCAACCTTATACCCTGTCCGAACCGTATACCCTCCATGTTTCGTATGATGCATAATCCTATCCTTACAACCCATCAAACTCAATGGTAATCCCATAATTAACTTTGATTCATTCTCATCAAAAAGCTCCTGTACCAACTCCACATTCCACCTGCCCAAATCATAATCAATTAAATTGCTCACCATTCTGGCCTCAAAGCATTTCGAGTCTGAAGTTTGAAAGTACTGGGTATAGGAAGCCAAGGATCACCCGTGACTCTAACATTCTTTCCCTCACCCACGGACGGAGTCAAAAATTTCTTCTAGTGGGGGCAACCGAAAATAACTAAGAAAACTTTATTATAGTATGGTTATATGCAATATGATATTAAGGATGATTTCAAATGATGATGTATCACAATTCCAATGTTACAAAAATTTCAATATAGTAGTGGAAAGTAGCAAAGTGACGAGAAAAATATAAGTACATGATAGGCGGGAGAAGGTTTTTTCGGTTTGAATAACAGAGCAAGAGAACTATTGCTCATATAATATTTGATATAAAGTATAAATAGAATGAATGTATGTTAGATATTATATACGTATATTTTCTTCACAGATAACCCGTGTATATTATATAATTATTGTCTGCAACTAAACAAACGAATTACTTGAGTGGGGGCATCTGCCCCCAGTGAGCCTCCATTGGCTCTGTCCATGCCCTCACCCACCCTCCAACGTAACCCTCTTTCAATAATTTTTTTTCTCTAAAAGATACCTTTCCAACCCTATGACGATTTACACCCCAACTTTGCATCCAAAAAAGTAGTATTCGGGAAGTATTTATCATTAAGTACCTGAGCCAACAACGAATCCGGAGCCATCACCAGTCGCCACCCAATTTTGGCCAAGCACGCAAGGTTGAAGCATTGGAAGTCCCTGAAATCCAATCAACACCCTCCTTTCTCTTTTTCAAATTTTCCCACGCAATCCAATGCATTCCGAAATTCTTTTTATTACCCCTCCACCAGAATCTCGTTATTTCCCGCTCCATCTTTTTGCACGTACTCACCAGAAGCTTCAAACATGACATCGCATAATTTGGCATAGCCATTGTAACCGCCTTGATTAACACCTCCTTACCCACTTGTGATAAATATTGCTCCGCCCACCCGTTAAACCGTGCATCCATACCCTTCCGCACTTCTTCGAATACCGCACACTTGGAATGCCCAAAATCCGCCAACAATCCCAAGTACTTCCCAAACCCTTCCCTATCTTGAATATTGGTACACCGCCCAATTTTCTTCCTTTGCCGTGTATTACAATTTGCCCCAAATAATAAAGAACCTTTCTCCCTGTAAATAAGTTGTTCGGAACCGTCTACATAACAATCAAGGACCTCTAGAACTCCCCGAATCTCCTGTACTGATGCTTGACAAAAAATAACCGAATCATCCGTAAAAAATAAATGTGAAATAGACGCACCCCCGAGGTAACCCGCATACCGTGGAGCACCACAATTTCTTCATTCCCCCTATTTTTATTAAATAATTAAAATCCTTCAAAATCCCAATTAAACACACGACCATCCATTCCGAAATAACGCATCAAACGCAGAATCACTTTCACTTAAAATCTTCCCCTCCCTGCTTCTCCCTGCTCCTCCCTGGACAACGCACAAAGCTTTTGTCTCTTCATCTTCTTCCCTTCACCTGTCCCGCTAATAATCACAGGTATGGATTTTCTTTAACACATATTTTGCTAATTTTATTCTTTTTTTCTACATCTTTCCAGATTGTTTCGTAACTTCACAACTATTTTAGGGTTTTTTATTTGGATGATTCTGATTTTTTTGGCGTGGCTAGAACTCTATGATTCAGATGATTATTTGTTGATTATTCTTTCCTCGTCCCAATATCATGGCAAAATTTTATGAGATTTTTAAATGGTAGTATAGGATCGAATTCCTAGCTCTTGCGGCACGTCGAACTTGGCCAGCTCCTCTCATTTTATAAATCCTACATACGTAAAAGCCTTAGGTTTTTTCTACTTTTCTTTCAATTTTTGTTCTGATATTTTTATGGATCTTTTTGCAGTCAGATGAGATGGATTTGATAATCTAATTAACATGGCGGACGGCGTCCTCCTGGAACGAGAGACGCAACTGGTGCACTCTGGTGATGGCGCCTGTATTTTCAACAACGACATCATCCTTGAGATACTGTCATGGGTTCCAGGGAAATCCTTACTACGATGTCGGCGTGTATGCAAGTCATGGTGTACCTTAATCTCCGACCCTAATTTTGTTAGAAAACAGCGCAGCCAAGCAGTTAGACACAGCACCAACTTGAGGCTGCTAATGTTTACAAACAGGCTGCATATTCGGATAAAGTCCATAGACTACGAATCATTACTGTCATTTTTAACGAAGAACAAGCACGAAAATATTAGTCGTGTAGTTGTTCCACGCTGCAGAAGGCACAAATTACCATTAACGCAGCCTGACAACAGAAATATGCGGATCATGGGTTCTAGCAATGGCCTGGTTTGTCTTTTTATAAATTGCCATTACACTTTGTTGTGGAATCCTTGTACTGGCAATTCCAAGGAGATACCAAAACCCAGTCCAGAACCTTTCCTTCCAGCATTTTATGGATTTGGTTACGATTCCGCGACTGATGATTACAAAGTCATTTGCAACTGTCCAAGTGCAGATCGAACCTATGAAGTTTTTGTCTTCACACTTAAAACGGGTTCATGGAGGATTGTTGAAGGTCTCGATCATATTGAGGACGAGCGGGGTTTGTTGTTGAACGGCGCCCTACATTGGCTAAACGTTAAACGTCGTGCAGATGGATCAATAGATCCGAAATCAATAACAATTACCTCTTTCGATTTAGCAAAGGAAAAATTTCAGGAGCTAGTGTCGTTACCCAATGTTCTCGGAGATATATTTCTGGGGGCAGATCTTGGGGTTTATAAAAGTTCTCACCTTTTGTGTTCATTTGACAATTTCAGATTTGGGAATACAGAAATATGGGTGATGATGGTATATGGAGTTGAACAATCTTGGACCAAACTGATTGTGCTGGAAGATCAAGACCTTTCACATCCCGTGTACGTTTCAGAGGATGATAAAGTTTTCATAGCCTTAAGAGAGGGTGACTTAAAATTATATGATTTAAAGGAAAACAGATACAGAAGTGTTCTTAAACCTAAAAAGCAGCTCAGGCTTGCATTTGCTCTATATGTAGAGACTTTAGTTTCACCAGCAACTGGGAACTAGTGAAAACATCCCAAACTCAGGTTATGAGGCTTTCGTTCCCTCCCTTCTTGGGGTATAATGTAACTTTATTTGCGTTTGAAACATCGATCGTATTGACATAGTAAGATTATGTAATACTCTTTTATATATTCAGTATTCTGTTTGTTTAATTATCCTCAAGATTCTTGCCTCAATTGTTCCTGCCATTATGGATATAGTAACATTGTTTGCAGAACCAAGAGTTATTGGTCCTTGGACGACAAACCTTGATTCAACAGTATGCTTCAGGATATTTCCTAAGAAATCTATTCATTCACTCTTTATTTTCATGAAGACGATTATTTCACGAAGATGGTATTTGCACTGAAATCTGGTGGATTGCTGATCCGATGCAGTATGCATTTTGCAATGGTTTGAGTGATCCCTATGCAGTAGATCACAGAGAACCGCCGGATCCATATTCGATTATTACTCTTAAAAAATGGGAATGCTGTGTAGCTGGAGAAATGAAAACGAAGCAGAAAGGAGTTGTAGGAGATGTAAACAAATCCACAATACGCAGCGTATGGCATACATGTTACTGATGGATATAAGCAACAACTATGGAGTCAAACTAGTAGGCAACAAAAAGTAGTAGAGGATTATGGAATTTACGACAATTTGAGAGTCGTTCCCTAAAATAGTCAGCAAGGTGAGCAAAAGTTGTTGCACATGTCCATCTGCAACACCTCGTCGATGTTGAGAATCAATGTCATTTGTAGGTGAAGTAAGTGTGTGAGGTTGGTGAAGTAAGTGGAGGTTGTAGGTGAAGTAGGTGGATGTTGTAGGTGAAGTAAGTGTGTGAGGTTGGTGAAGTAAGTGGAGGTTGTAGGTGAAGTAGGTGGATATTGTAGGTGAAGTAAGTGTGTGGTGTAGCTTTCATTTGGTTTGCTATAAATACCCAAGTCCCCAAGCATTGTAAATCATCCAAGGAAAAACAAAGCCTAGAGCTAAATAAGAAAAGCTTTGCTAATTAGTTTGTTTTGTGAGTTTTCTTTAAGAGTGTGCTCTATTTTCTTCTTCTTGGGATCATTAGAGTTATCTTGGATACTCTTCTTATTCAACAGTCGAAGCATGTGTAAAACAATCCCTTAGACCACAAAGCCAACGACTGTAACACGTAATGGGCTCACGATTGCCTAGTTTCAGAGCTGGTGACATGACTTGAAGTTCCAACTTGGTGCTTGATATTTGTATGGTCACCACTTAAGGATTGTTACTATCTTTTCACGCCTTGTACAAGGAAATGTTACTTTGTGGTTTACCAACATATTTTCTGCAAGAACAACTAGTCGTTGCTTATGACAAAGTTTCTTGTGGTGGCATGTAACGGGCTCACGATCGCCTGGTTTCAAAACTGGTGACATGACTTGAAATTCCGACTTGGTGCTTAATATATTTTCATGCTTTGTACAATGAAATTGACTCTCTGATTTACCAACATATTTTGCTCTATCTGAGAATCTTCATGAAGTTTTTATACATCTTTGTTATTATATTCGGCTGCCGAAGTTATAGGACCTAATTGTTTGTCCTGAAAGTCAATTCCCCGTTTCGCACCCTTGTGGTAATATATGCAATTCATTGTTATCACCTTATACACTCCGGCAGTTTTAGTCAATTCCAAGTCGATCGCCTTTGGGGATTTAGAGACGAGCTATATAAGATCAAGTTTCGTCAGTTTCGGATAGAGAATTATTCTGCTTATGATAAGTTTAATGGATCTGGCATTTTGCAAGGATTTGAAACCTTAATTTAGCTTTAGGCTCAGCATTTCTTTTCTTTTTTTTTTTCTTTGCTTGCAGCATTGATAAGTAGGTAAGGATTTGAAACCTTATGCCCCGCATATCCTAACCTCACTAGAAACCTTATGCCTTGCTAGAAACTCTCTTCTGCATTTGAATCTTTCAGCATGTTTTAATCTGTCTGAATCAGTATCTGCATCTGAAGCGGTATTTGCTTAAGTGTATGGTTTTTGGTTTTTGAAATTTTGATTGGGTTGGTTGTCACTATAGCTAGCAACTTCTCTGCTTCGAGTGAGATCTTAGGCTGTGTAACTAGACGGACGGGGTTTGTGGTGATCAAGCATTGCCCCAGTCAGATGCATTCCATCTTCATCAATTGGCATCAATTCTCTCTCTCTCTCTCTCTCTCTCTCTCTCTCTCTCTCTCTCTTCCCATAAGTTTTTACTGTACCAAAGTTCGAACTGGAACTGGCATCGGCAACCAGCTTCAAATTTTTTTCTTGGCAAACTCATGTAGCTTACAACCATGAGTTTGACACGACTTGAGTGTTGGGTTCAAAAAGTTAACAATTTGGTTTAGTTTGTATTTTTTATTTAACGTGTTGTCTTGGAGTTATGTAGCCATCTCGATCTTTTTTATTTTTCTGCATTGTGTTGCGAAGCCCTTTCTACCCCCAAATACAGTTGTATGACGTAGCTAAGCAAGAAAAGAATTGGGATTTCTCCCCCACAAGCCTGATGTTAGACAACTTGGTCACCATTGGAAAAACCCTATTCATTTCCGACCCTCAATTGCAAGGCAATCAGAAGAGAAAGAAAACCTTGCTAACAAGACGTGGACAAAAAGAGTTTGTATTCATTTCCGAGCCTTCTTCCATTGGAAAAACCGTACATCAACTTGTCCGTCTATCAGATTAGTTTACCGGATATTAAGAAGTTCAAAAATGTTAATCATCTCGAGATTTATTCAACAAGAACTTATAATCTTACAAAAGACGACAATTCTTTCGGGATTCACAACTTACATCGCCTTGTACATATACTACACTTGATCAAGATACCGACTGCTAACCTCTAACTCTCAAACTAAAGAAAAAAATCGAACGGAAGATGATATAAGAAAAACAAGGAGTGGGGGCAGAAGTAAAAATCCAGGTCATACAATAAAGATAAACTTCAAAACCTTAAATCCATTCCTTTGGGTTGATGCAAGCATCTAACAGTTTCCATTCTTCGCTTCCCTCTTCTGGTTTCTGCACAGCAAACAATAAGATCACTCCCTCAATTACAAGTTCAAAAGTTCAAACTGTTCCATTTTCAGTAGTGTCAATAAAATATCGCTTACATGGTCATATTCCCATCGAGCAGTCAGCGGAAGAGAGACGAGAATACTCTCAATTCGACCTCCCGTCTTTAGTCCAAAAGTAGTTCCACGATCATAAACCTTTTGTTTAAAAGAAACAGATGAATTAGATCTCATTTACTTGAGTCTTGATGATATGAAAATCTTTAAATGCCTTAAGGACTTATTTTCATACCAAATTGAACTCGACATAGCGCCCTCTTCGCAATTGCTGCCATTCCTTCTGCTGATGTGTAAATGGTAGGTCCTTTCTTTTCTCTATAATCGGCAGGTAAGCAGGGACCACAGAATTTGCACATTCTTCATGTCAACAGAAGTCCATGCAGGAAGAGGATTTAGTCGCTCAACAAGAATGAAATAATTAACAGAAAATACACAAAGAGAGCATTCTATTTTTCTAAGCAATACCAGTGGCAAAAGAAAGAAGCATCTCCTGATCGTAGTCATTTAGATCATCAAAAAATATTCCTCCAAGTCCTCGCCTCTCATCTCGATGCTGCATACGAAGATGATTGTCAAATATAAAGCAAAATAATATCAGGCAAACATAGTAATTTGACATCTGCACCAAGGCCGAAATCATTAATAGTTTTACTTTTACCCATTTAGTCAGCATTGTAATTAAAAATAAACAAGTATTTTAAGAGTAAATGATTGGGAAGTGGCGAAAGGGTTTTACCCTTCATTGACTGCAATCCACAAACATGGGAAAGTACAGACATTACATGCCTAGTGGATGTAGTATTGAATGTTATGCCTTTTATGTGTACATCAGGAACTTCTTGATGGGTAAACCTCAGTACATTTGTAATAATTGGTAATTTGACACGACAACAATCACAATCCACAAATAATTGCATTACAATGAGAACATCAACATACTCATTTCACAGAATAATATCACCAGTATATTATAAGCAAACAGAAACAAGAACGCAGTTATTTGGCACACAGGCACGTCTTTGTTAGTTCCTGAGAAGTTGTCCAAATTGACTATTAGAGTTTAGAAAGCATCAATGCATCATCAACGCCATATTATAGAATCATAATACATAACAGTGAAAATGGTTCGGTGAAATACCTTGATATAGAAATAATCATCACACCATTTCTTGAACCGAGGATAGAAGGCAGGATCAAATTTGTCGCAAGCACTTTTCTGAACCTACAGATTTAGGCTAACATTAGTATGCAGTTAGTTAAACCCACCCAACGTTTTTCAAAAGAAAAGAATGTTAAAACACCAGAGACAAAACACCACAAGGAAAGTTGTCTGTTGTGAGTACATACTGAATGAAAGTGCTTAACATCCTCCTCAAAAATATAAGCAGGTGTCAAGTCAGTACCACCCCCAAACCACCACTGCCTTGGTGCACCAGGAGCATCTGCACAAATATGACAAATCAACATAGAGTCCCAGCAGCTCTCTTTTTTCATAAAATTATATATACACGAGTGATACAAGGAACAGGCAAATTTTCCAGATGCGGACGAGAAGAAATATCCTACCTCGATCACAAATCTTAATATTGTTCTGCTAATGTAACTGATAGTTTTATCAACATTGCAATTCTTATCATTATTCACCGTTAATTAACCCACAAAGGCATTACTCAGAATCTCAACATATCATTTATAGCATGTGAGTGAGCATAATCCAAGTGCCCAGCGGACTATGTTTTAAGGGTTTCACATTTTTTCTATGTAAAAACAACCTCTGCAGATTAACGTCCAATTCAACCCATCCGTTGCCAATCTGTCTAATCCTTGGTTTTGCATTATTCAACATAAGCATGAACGAAAATGATATACTCAATTTGAGATCATCTACTTCTTCAGCACTTCGATAAACGACGGATTCAAGCCTGCCTACCTACTAACACCACCTAGCTAAGCAATGTACAATCAACAACAGAGTTACTAACCTTGGGGAGCATCGGTTTCGAAATACCGATAATTGAAATGCAAAGTAGGCGCAAATGGGTTCTTCGGATGCAAAACCTGAAAGCAATCAATCAAACCCCACATATTACACACACAAAAATAAGACAACCCAACATTTCTTTGTTCACAAACACAGCACAACTCAAGAATTTACCGAGCTAACTCCGGCAGCGAAGAAGGGAACCGGGCCAGGCTTATGATCAGCTGCGGCGGCGCCCTTGGCAGCTCGGTAAGCCTCAGGAGGCATAACACCGTAAACAACAGAGACATTGACACCAGCCTTCTCCCAAACGGCGCCGTCCTGGAGGACCCTGCTGATGCCTCCGCCACCACCGGGTCTCGACCACACGTCCTCTTTAAATGTGGCGCCACCGTCCGCGGCCTCAATGGCGGCGCAGACAGTGTCCTGGGCATCTCTTATCATTTTCTCAAAGCGGGCGCGGACGGAGGACGAGGAGGAGTTCTCGCGGAGGAAGGTATCGGGGCGGTGGGCCTCGGGGGTTTCTTTTTCGATGACGGCGCATCGGACGGCGGAGGAGGGAGCGGAGCGGAGGGGGTGGCGACGTGGGGTGAAGGCGAAGGAGCGTTTTCTGGGGGAGAAAGGCGGGAGCTTTGGTTTTGGGGAGGGAGGTGGGGAGAGGAGAGTGAAGGAGGAGGAAGCTGAGAGCGCCGCCGGCGGTGGCATTGTGGGTGTTTGGAAACGATTTTTGAATCGGATTTTCTAAAGGACGGGTCTTTCTGGCATTGGAAATTGAGAGTGAGAGGGAGGGATATGGAATTGGGATAAGGCGGTCACTCAAAACCAAATCCAGATGTAATCGGATACTTCTGTTCAGTGCCCACTGGATTGGATTATCCAGTTTTACTGTGGGAGCTTGGTCTTTTTACTGTTGGCTATTTAAGGCCGATGGCGGGCATGTGAAATAGGGTGGAAATGATTTCGACCAAAATTATAAAAAGAGGGTGGAAGTAAAATAGGGAGGGATATGAAAATAGAGAAGCACGGTTGAACACTTTCGTGGAACATAGAACATGAAACGCGGAAATTGGGTTCGATTTTTCACGTTAGTGGCCTTTAATACGGTGGACTGTTATAGCAAAACAATCAACTAGTTATTTTTCAAAAAAAGAGATGGAACCGATTAAACACTTTCATGGAACATGAAACGTGGAAATTTAGTTCAATTTCTAATGCTAGTGGCCTCTAAAAGGGTGAACTGTTGTAACGAAGCTATCAGCTAGTAATTTTTCAAAAAAAGAGATGGAACATGCAATGGCGTAGTCAGAAATTATTCGGTGTGTAGGCTAAGCTAAAATTATTACTTCGAAATCAAATTTTTAATTCTTTGTTGCCTACGTAAAGTTATATAGTAGTAAAAACTTGAATGTAGTAATTTGAAGCAACAATTTTATGTTATGTTTTCTAGGTTTTTAGCCTTCAAAGTTTTCAAGTGAATAAAATAAGGAACCATTTGTTGTATGGTAGATTTAACTTATTACTATTAAAACATAATATTGATTAAAGTGATAAGTTTATTTAACATCTGTTAGCTCTTATTACTCTTAAAAACAGTCTCAATCATCAAATTTTCATTTGCCAAGTGGAATATAACAATTAAAATCATAAACTAGTGTAAAAAAAATTAAGGGCTTGTTTGGTATCATATTTGAAATTTTTTTATAATTTCTCAAAACATTTCCTAAGAATTTTTCTTGAAAACAATTTTCTTTAAAACTCAAAAGCTTGTTTGGTATGTGATTTAAATATTTTAAATTTTACAACTTAAACTAGACAAAGAAATCTAAAAAGAGTGGGCTGAGAGAGAAAGAGAAGAGAAGAGGAAAGAAAGTAAAAGATGATTGGAGAAAAGAGAAAAAAGTGAGAGGATCGGAGGAGATAGAGAGAAAGAGAAAAAGGAGTGATGGAAAAAAACGGAGAAAATAATAAGGGCGGATTGGAGGAGAGACAAAAAAGAAAAGAGTGAGATAGCTTTGGAGTGAGAGGGGAGGAGGGAGAGAAACAAAGAGAAAGAAGAAAAGAGAGAGATAGCTTTGGAGTGAGAGGCGAGAAGAGAGAGAAAAAAATGAGTGAGTTTAAGTTTAAAAACTCATTTTTTGTGTTTTTAAAGAATATACTATATTTTTTTAGTTAATCTTAAGTTCAGTTTTTAAAAATAGTCATACCAAACAAGTTTTTAACGCATAAAACTTAAAAATTGTTTTTGAGTTTAAAAAATTGAATTCTAATAGAATACCAAACATGCTCTAATATTTTTAAGCTTGAGAACCAAAACTCTCCCCATGCTATAGCCTAGGGAGTCTTGCATTTGGCTCCGTGGAACATGGAAAATAGAAGGAAAGTGAGACTTAGTGTAAAGACTTGAATGCCCAAAAAAAGGCTAATAATCCCATCAAATATGAGAGGGTAAAAAATGGAAGTACATGATCACTTTATAATGTAATCCAATTGTTTTGAATAAATACTGACTTGAGCGTTGAAGTATATTCTTGCAGATACCCCAACTTCCCTCATTGATGGCAAGCAAAGATGGTGCTCAACTTCTCGATGTGATTACAAAATTACTTGTGAGAGGGTTTGAGGACTCAAATTTTTTCGCTTCAACAATTAACACCGTCTATAATAATAAATGGTTTTGAGTATAAACAAAAAGTTCATTGACTCAAGACACAAATTAAATTGGTACCTCCTCTCAATCTTAAGGAGCCAAGCTCCTCTCCCAAAAAAAAAAAAGTCCTAAAAATGCACCAAGTACAACCAAATATTTAATTCACCAACATCGCTGGATTGAAATAAAATTCACATGAATTTTTTATGTAACCATATATTCACATTAATTAGTCAAATTATTTGGCTCAATTGCCTTTTTTTTTCATATTTATTTTTCAGAGATAAAAAAAAAAAAAGTTATTTTGCCGGGACAATAGAAAAATAAAATCAGTGTTATTTATGAACAAAACACTGAACCAATAATTATTAGCTTCAGGCTATAAAATCGGTATCATCGTCCACACATCGCTCTGTGTACCTCTCCGGGAATCCCAATTCGATCAAAAATGGAAGCAGCGGCGGCGGAGCCCATCAGGGTTCAAAGCCTGGCCCAAGCCGGTCTGACCCAAGTTCCGCCCCAATACATTCAACCTCCCCAGTACCGACCCAACCAACCATCATCCTCAACCAACATTCCCATCGTCGACCTATTCGGACCCGACCCGACCCGCCGCGACTCGGTTCGGGCCTCAATCGGACAAGCCTGCAGAGACTGGGGCGCCTTCCACGTTACCAATCACGGCGTACCCGCCGCCTTACTCGATGCCATTAAGCGCGCCGGCCTCACCTTCTTCAACGATAGCTCAGTCGAAGACAAGCTGAACTACGCGTGCGATCCGAGCTCGTCGGCGTCGGAGGGGTACGGCAGCCGGATGTTGGAGAAGGACGACACCGTTTTGGACTGGAGAGATTACTTCGACCACCACACTCTCCCCCTCGCGCGCCGGGACCCTACGCGCTGGCCCAATTTTCCCGCGGACTACCGACGGGTGGTATCCGAGTACAGCGATCGAATAGCTTCGCTGGCGCGGGAGCTGCTGGGACTGGTGTCGGAAAGCCTGGGGCTTGAAACGCGGCGTATGGAGGAGGCGGTGGGGGAGTTTTGGCAGAACATTACGATTAGCTACTACCCGCCGTGTCCTCAGCCGGAGCTGACTTTGGGCCTGCAGTCCCATTCGGATTTTGGGGCGATCACGCTGCTGGTCCAGGACGAGGTGGGCGGGCTTGAGGTGCTTAAGGACGGCGATTGGGTGCCGGTGAAGCCTCTGGGCGGCGACGCCATTGTTGTGCTTTTAGCTGACCAAACTGAGGTAAACTCTACGATCTGTCAAATATCAAACACCATTGTTCTTCTTTTTGCTGCCTATAACTATGAGCAAATTGCAGTCTTTAGTTTTATAAGCACTACCCAATCGGTTGTTATATGGTTGTTCTATTTAACGAATCGAAGCGCTGAAGAACTGACATTACTCAATTAGTTATACGAGTTCTTAGTATAATAAAGTTGAAAACTTTTGCTCGAAATTATGGAAATGGGCTAAATATTGTTGCTGAGAAAGAAAGGAGGGGAAATAGAATGCAGGGGGTTTAACTTATCTCAGAGTGGAAGTGGGAACTGGGGAGGAGGGTGTGTTCCAAGTATTTGAAGTTTCTTTTTCTATAATGCAGTGTCAAATTTTCTTGATCCATGCTTCTCGACGCCAAATTTATTAGTGTGCCTTTGTTTTATTAATAACAGATGTCATCCGTTGTCAATTGGTGCCTATGCCCATTGAATATATGCGGTCCAATCACCATGTCATTGCGGAATTATCATTCGCCGAGTGGCGTTTTTAATAGATAAGAATATTGCTTGAATGAATCATGATGAATACATTAAATGGTATTCTTTTTGCTTTTAGATTTCTCAAATGATGCTGAATTTTATCAAATGGTACCAGTAGCAATATGTTATATTCTGTGTAGGAATATTAACGTTTTTGGCCCGGTAGTTGTACTTATCTGTCGGTCTTGGCCAGGCTTCTGATCATTTTGTTTTCTATTTGCTCAACGTATTGGTTTAGTTACTAGTAGCAATATGTTATACCATGTGTAGGAATATTAACTTTTTTTGCCCAGGTAATTGTGTTTATCTGTCTGTCTTGGGCAGGCTTCTGATCATTTTGTTTTCTATTTGCTCAACGTATTGATTTAGGGCATGTTGTTTTAGTAGGGAATTATTAATTCGTCTGTGGGGACTTGAAGACAAACTGACCTAGGAACCTCATTTTGTTTTCTTCGGGTTAGTTTTTGTTAATTCTTGGTCGAGTGGGATAAGTGATTAGACAATAAACATTGGTTAATATGGTTCTAAGTTGACTGGACGCTTAGCCAACCAAGTTAAGATGTACTGCTTTGTACATGCACTTTTAGTTGCAGTTGGACATCACACACTAAAAAACTCACGAGCTGCTTAATCTGTCAATATATGAGAAGTTGCATTGTAGATCATACGCCTGCTTTTACAGTTTTAGCAAGGGTTAAGCCATAATTTCCTAATCAACTTTATTTTGTCCTCGATCGAGCTGCTAGTTGTATGATGTTACTGGCAACCACTATTTCTGGATGTTGGCATGACATCAATACTCCCGTTGTATTTATTTTTCTCTCTCTTTTCGTTGTTTTTATGTGTTTTGGTCAGGAATATATTCAGTTTGGGTCCCAAGGAACACAATGAGGCTTGGTCATTGTCCTTTCTGATTTGTCTTAATAATTGGCTTTAACTGAGATTACAAAGAACTGTGACATGAGGAGGAACCTGTAATATTTAATTCAAACATTAGGAAACTGGCTTTGATTATTGGGTTTGGCTTTAGATCAATACTCAAGGTACTGATTTAGGTTGGTTCGGTTTTGTGTTTGTACCAAGTGGACTTGAGCTGTGACGTCTGAAACTAAGAATGGCGTTCTTAGGGTTAGTTTTGTTGAAAATGAGTCCCACATTGATGGGAGGAGGGCTCTTGCATGGGCTTATAAGAGGTGAGGCTACTCCCTATATTGTCAATTGGTTTTATGGTAGAACCTCAACCTTTTTCATGGCATTAGAGCAGGTTGTCTCCCACGTGTGAAGCCAAACGGCCTCACGGCCACAAGCGCTCCAGTTCATCCCGTTGTGTTGTCTACGTGTTAGGCCGAAAATTTGCCACACATGAGGGGACGTGTTGAAAATGAGTCGCATATTGATGGGGGGAGGGAACTTGCATGGGCTTAGAAGAGTTTGGGCTACTCTCCATACTGCCAATTGGTTTTATGGTGAAACCTCAACTTTCTTCCATACTGCCAATTGGTTTTACGGTGGAACCTCAACTTTCTTCAAGTTTTGATATATGTGTATTCCGTTTCTCCGTAAGCTGACAACTGAATCACCAGCATGAGCTTTCGTATGATTCTTGTCGATTTAAAGAAAAAGTGTGTTTCATGCACTAGGAATTGTTTTCTGGAATTGGATGAACTAGTAGAGCAGTGGTATCAATTTCGTTTGTTCTCTAACAGTGGATTATCTTGCTGGCAGATAATAACGAACGGGAAGTACAGAAGTGCCGTGCATAGGGCTCTAACCAATTCCCATCAGCCACGACTCTCAGTGGCCACATTTCACGATCCGGCCAAGACAGTGAAAGTATCCCCTGCCTCGGAGCTCATCAGCGAGTCGACTCCTGCCCTTTACCGTGAAGTTGTGTATGGAGATTATGTGTCGTCGTGGTACACAAAAGGCCCTGAAGGAAAACGAAATATTGATGCCCTCCTGCTCGAACCTTGATTATTTGTTCGAAAACCCTCGTTCCACCTTTTGCATTCTTACGGTAGAATGCAAACAGAGGCCTTTTTAGGAAACAAAACGATTTGAGGTTTCAAAGTAGTGGTATAGACGCATGATTGTATACAACTGGTCATAGTAAGATTCCTTTGAACGGCAACTGTTTCGATAATTTTCAAAACGTTGTGTTTGTGTTTTGGATTGCTAATATTGAAAGCGTCATTAAAAAAAAAACATGGAAGCAAAAGCAATGCAAACAATACCACTCATTATTATTAATCAACGCATGATACGACTAAAATGTCACCAAACCGAATAATTAAATTAAAATACTTGACAGAAATAAGGAAAAATATTCTATCACCCAATAACCGAATATTAAATTAATATATTTGACAGAAGTAAAGAAAGAGATTCTATCACCATTAAATATTCTAAAAAAAATAAAATTTTTTACACCTAAAAGGCTATAATCCACGCTAATATAATAATGTTAATTGTAAGTGGCCTTTTACTGAAAAAAAGTTAACGGTAAAAGTTTAAATTTTATCGGTGATTAATCTAACACTTAATTTAACGAGTTTTACCATTTGGTGAAAAAAAAAATAATAATAGTAATTAGCAACATCAATTAGTATTAATTAATCATAATTATGGCCCTCCCATTTGCCGTCCGAGAACAAAAACAAAAATTTAAAAATTAATCACAATTTTATGTTTGAAGAGGGTCCCAGAACATCCGAACCCCCCAACGTCTCCTCCTTGTTCTCTTCCGTTTATCCCCATCTGTCTCTGACGCTGGGAGACCGAGCTTCCGTTGGCGCCTTTTAACCTCTCCGATTCCTCCAAACAAACGCGGAATTCCAATCCCATCGGATCCAATACAATTCAATTGGACCACCGTGAAAACCCAGATGAAGCCCTACAGGAATGGCGAAATCTGGGACTTTGAGCACCAAATGCCAGTGGCCGCCGGCGCCGGAGATGTTATATTGGGTGTGGACGGCGGAACCACCTCCACCGTCTGCATTTGCATGCCCATTTTGCCCTTCTCCGACCCCCTCCCCGACCCGGTTCCCGTCCTCGCTCGAGCTGTTGCTGGCTGCACCAACCACAACAGCGTTGGCGGTAATTGTTCTTCATTTCTTGGATTTTCAGTTGATTTTTACTGTTTTGAAGTTTTGATGGTGGTTTTTTACCCAATTGGGATCACTTTCTGGTGAAATCGTAGAGGCGGCTGCGAGGGAAACGTTGGAGCAGGTGATGGCGGAAGCGCTGGCCAAGTCGGGTTCGACCCGGTCGGCGGTTCGGGCTGTTTGTTTGGCGGTTTCCGGCGTCAACCACCCCACTGATCAGCAGAGAATATTGGATTGGATGAGGTAACACTTCCAAGTCTCTATTTTTTCCTACATGGTTCCCATTTGTATGCTTCTCTTTGGTTTTATCATCGGACCCTTTTGGTTCTTTTGGGTTTTCGACACATATCAATGTCGAATTAATGTTGTTTTGTACTAAATGTTTGATTTTTTCTTGGTTTCAATAGGGATATATTTCCCAGCCATGTGAGGTTGTATGTTCAGAATGATGCTGTGGCTGCTCTAGCTTGTGGGACTCTGGGAAAGCTTCATGGGTGTGTTCTGATTGCCGGCACAGGGACCATTGCCTACGGGTTCACAGAAGACGGTAGAGAAGCTCGGGCAGCTGGTGCAGGTCCTACCTTAGGTGATTGGGGAAGGTATAGTCTTGTTGCATTGTTCTTATTTCTGCTCTATCTCATTCTCTGCCTTATGAATCCATGATGCTCCTAATTTATGAAAATTATAGGGGATGGTATGGTCAATGCTTTATCTACATTATGGAGGTGGTTGTCATTGAACCATCCTAACCACGAAGCATATAGAAAGATATTAGGGTTGTGAGAAGAAAGAACTTAATGGGAGATGTTAAACCCAGAACCTTTTGGTCCTTTTCTGGCTTCTTGATCATATTTTGAATTAAAACTTAGTTTGAAATCTCGTAGAGTTCTTTCTGTTTTTCACGTTTCATCTTACTCTTTCCTGCTCATCATTTATCATATCATTATGCTCATCCTATAATCAGAAGATGCTCCCTGCCTGACGGTATATGTTGTGCTTAATTTTAAGATTTCATTGCCATGTGTAAATGAATCGATTTGCTAAATACACTTATTATCAATCTTAGAATTCGATAGTTGATACTCAATAGCATATGGGATGTGATCGGTAAAGATGTAGGCTTCTTTTTCTTCGCACCCTTTCTCTTTCCGGCAGTTCTATTGAAGGTAATATCTTGTTTACTTGTAGTGGATACGGTATAGCTGCTCAGGCATTAACCGCAGTGGTAAGGGCCAATGATGGTCGTGGTCCAGATACAAAGCTTACATCTAGTATTTTAGAGGAGCTTGGTCTTTCTTCTCCAGATGAACTCATTGGGTATCTATCTGAAACTTATAAATGCCATCATCACATATATGGGTGAAGTTACTAGTTGTCATTTACACAGTTTTGGTGAAATATATGACAAGGTTTGTTCCATCTCTTGAATAGTCCTGGTTACATGATGCAAAAATGTGAGACGGTTTCCACTTATTGTAGCTATGATTTAGTGTAGATGTATATTGTAAAAGTTTTCCGGTTCCATTAAAGTACAATCATTTCATATTTTGAGACTAATCTTGTTAGATATCAATACTGACACACCTAAATTGCTGGATACCTATATGTGAGACGGTTTCCACTTATTGTAGCCACATCACACGTTAACGGAGGTTTTGACGGAAAGCCTAACAAAAGTATGAAAGTGACCCACAATCCTCACTTTAGACATGAGGCTGAGATGAAAAAAACTTGATGTATGAAAGTTTGAAAACCACAGTACTCAAGGGTAGTAGAGTTAGAATTACCATAATTTTTTTAGTGGATTTTAGTCTCTTGAAAATCTATGCTTATTTTTCTTTTGCATTTGTCATGCATTCTTGATTGAAATACATTTTATTTAAAAGGAATTTTGGTGTTTTGTGTATGTCTCTGTGAACCATCTTGGGAAAATGCAGTGAGAACTCAATCATTTGGTACATCTGAACCGTAATTCACAAGATATGTTGATATAAATGAGTGCCAGGGGTTTGATTGTATGGGATATCAGATAACAACTGTAATTTTATATTGGATTTTAGGTGGACATATGCAGATCCATCCTGGGCTCGCATTGCAGCGCTTGTTCCAGTTGTTGTATCTTGTGCAGAGGCTGGTGATGAAGTTGCAAATAATATCTTGTTTGATTCAGTCCAGGAGTTGGGGCTCAGTGTGAAAGCTGTTGTTCAAAGACTTGGCTTGTGTGGTCCAGGTACTGAACCAATAATTCTTGGATTTGTATGATACATAATAAGCCATGACACGTGAGGTTATGCATGACCTCATGGACATTAATCATTTAGCAGTAGGGTAGTGATACTATTTAAATACCCAGTTGTAAAAACAAAATGATTAATACAACGTGGCTGTGTAGGGCCTTGATTTGATTCACTTTATGAGTTTAACTATCATTATAGTTGATTGACACCTATAGGTGTTGTCGTCCCTCTGTCTTGTGCTCTCGCTTCCCACAAGCGGGTGTACGGCTTATTGAAAGTACACCTAGTTGACCTTCCATCTTAACATGCAATGTTTATTTGAAGTACGATGGTGTGGCAGCTGTATGGTCATGCCTAGCTGTCTTATTTAATTTTCAAGTTTTATGCCTTTGTTCTATGCCCATTCCTTGTACATATGGGGATGTATTATTGTAGTATTCATGAGAGATATTCTTTATGGGTATCAGATTCAAGGAGTTTCATGTGTTGCAAGTAATAATTGATATGTAGGATGTCCCTAACGTGCATGTTTTTTTTTTTTTTTTTTTTGGTACTAAAAAATTGCAGAGGGGAAGGATTCTTTTCCGCTCGTCATGGTTGGTGGTGTTCTTGAAGCAAATAAAAGGTGGGATATAGGTATTGAAGTCATCAAATGCATCTCCAAGGACTACCCAGGGGCAGTTCCAATTAGGCCAAAGGTAAACACATCTTATGCCTCGCTTCAATCAACTTTTGACATTTCATGCAAATAAGTGAGCCAACTTCTTTCGCTAGATGGCTTCTTGAGCGCTCACAAGAGTCGACCTTCCTTGTCTTTCAATTCCACACTTTCCTTTGAATAAAATGGAAAAGCGAGTTCATATCAAACTGATAGCTAGACAGTACATGAAAAATAGGCAACACGCAAATAGTCTGCGGAAGGAACTAATAATAGTTATTAGCTATAAATAGGTAAAGGTCCGACTAACTACTGTCCCATATGCTTGTATGTGCACATTATCTTGTTGAATTTCTAACGTTTTACTTACAATACTGCTTTATTTGTTACCTTGAATCACCGTCAGGTGGAGCCTGCGGTTGGAGCAGCATTGCTAGCATGGAATTTCTACATGAATGATCTCTGAAGGAAGCTTTCAAGAGCTGACTGTTGTTGTTGTGTTACGTAGTCTACAAATTGTATAGTTGACAGGATCATGACGAAGTGAAACAGAAACAAGCAGATCAAAATTGAAATTGAAAGCATCATCAATATATTTTTTCGGCGTTAAGAAAGTGACTACCAATTTTTAATCTGCATAGAATTAGGTATCTGATGTAACCTAGTGTTGCATGTAAAAGTATAATTTGTTAATAGTGAAGTAAAGAAAATGATTTCAACTTCAATTATGTGCTTTTGCTAAAACCGTTTTTAGTAGAAACACGTTGAAATGAATTTTTTTACGTAACACTTGGCAGGTGCTTCTTTGGAAAACGCTCCTATGACTGAGAAAAACTTTTAATTCAGTTTTTGCCAAACACACTCATAAACGCTTTTGGTAGTAAGAAAATACTTTTGGCCCTTTCAAAAGCCTCGTACTTAGTTCGATATGATCAGCTAACAAGCAAGAGATAAACACTTGTCAGTAAACCAAATCTACTCAACTTCTCTTTCGAAGAAAAATTGTAACGCCCATGGCATGCATGAAAAGCCTAACCCAGAGAAGAGGTAGGGAGTAGGGAGCATGCAAAGGATGCTCAACCTTCCCATATCAGAACAAGAAAAAGCACAAGTTCATTCCACAACGGCTTCTCATCTTCACGCCAAAAATCCCCTCATCTCTTTGGATCATATCTTCCATTGTCAACTATAAATACCCCTCAAACCCTACATACCATAACCTACATATCAATTTAAGCTCACGATTAGGGTAACTAAACACTCCAGCACTTCATCAATTAATATCGAAAATCGAACGTACGAGAAAAATGAAGGGAGTTGTTGTAGCGGCGGTGGCGGTGGGATTGGCCATGTTGGTCTTGGTTGAACCGGGGCATGCCATGGTCACTTGCCAGCAAGCAGTGTCATCTCTGACTCCTTGCCTTCCATATCTCACCAGCGGCGCTGAAACCCCGCCTGCGGCATGTTGCAGTGGGGTTTCGGGTCTGAAACAGCTCACTCAAACCACCGAAGATAGGCGTACAGCCTGCCAATGCCTTAAGGACACGGCAAGTCAGAACCAAGGCATTAGGGAAGATGCTGCTGCTGGTCTCCCTGCGGCGTGTCAAGTTCAAATCAACGTTCCCATTTCTAGGAGCGTTGACTGCAACCAGTAAGTAAATTTATTATATATGTATATTGTGTTGAGAAGTCTTCCCCTACATGCATGCAATAATCCATAATGATTATCACGTGATGTGTCTAATTTGAGATTTTTTTGTTTGTTTTTGTATTGATGTTTATCCTAATACAAGTGATATTGGACAAGAGAGATTTAAATTCGAGACCTCGAGCATAAATGAGAGAATATTTTTAACTACCTGACTAAACTACAAGCATCTTGATGTTATTGTTATTTGTGGCATTTTGATTGCTTATATTTCAAAGTGTTCTTGCTGTTTCTAATGTTTTGTGCTTTTTTATGCACATAATTGAGTAAAATGAAGTTTACAGATTGAGTTAAAATAAAGAGAGAAAAGCATGCATGCGTGGCTGAATGTGGTCAAGATATGGTTCGCACTAGAGAGCCATGCTATACGTAGTTTATTCAAGCTACTAATTGTAATGTACGAGAATATATTGTACTTAATAAAATAAAGAAACCATAGTTATCTTTTGCACCTCTCTCTATACTATAAATATTATATATATATATATATATATATATATATATATATATATTTGAGGCCTTCCTGCAAAGTATAACCTAAAAAAAAAACACACATCAAACAAAAATCAATGTGTACTACTTCAATTACAATTTCGTGGGAATGTACTACCTATAAAAATAAAAGGACAGAGAAAAGCCTAAAAAGACCTTAAAAGTAACTATAAAAAAATGATATGTAATATTTAAAACTAGCGTAAATCATGCAATGCATAAACCATAAACCAGTCGAATGACATCAAACACATGTCAAACAAAACTAACGAAAAGCAGGTAACGCCCTTGGCGAGTTGTCATGCATGAAAAGCCTAACCGAGATATATCAAGTAGCCACACAGCATGCAATGCATTTCATGGCCCGTCCACGGAATATTGCTATGGCGTGAAGGATTTTATAAGGCTGATTCAAAACCACCCAAGACAGGCGTGAAACCTGCGACTGCCTCAAGGAAATGGTAATTCGCTACTCAGGTCAAACATTAAGGAAGGCCTGTAATGTTCAACTCGCATTTCCAAGAAATGCTAACTGCAATGAGTAAATAATCGTATTAACAACTCCCCCTCTCCTCCCCATTTGTTGTATATATAACCGTATGATCATGTGATTAGAGTGAACGTGATATATGTTTCATTAACAGATGATTTATTTGATGCGAAAAACGATTATACATGACAGTTGTAAGGAAGATAATTGTTTGTTATGTCGATTTTTGATCGCTAAAGGTTTTTGTTTTTGCACAGAGTGAATCAAAATCAAGGCTACAGATTTAGTTAAAATAATACAAGAAGCATGGGGGGATCAATGTTTCCATATTCTCGACGGCCACACATAGCTATGGTTAAATGTGGTTCTCACGAGAGAGCCATGCTATACTTAGTTTATTCAAGCTACTTGTTAATAAAATAATTATTCAAGAACCACGTATTTCTTGCAACTTACACAATTTCTTATCATGATAGGATGCTAAATATTATATATATTGTGAAGTGTTGCTGGATAAGACAATCTTTACTCATTTTTGCAATTAAAAAATAATTTTCGCGCTAACATAAGCTTAATCAAAACCATATTAAAGCGTTATAAACCAAAACAAAAACATAAAATTTGATAGTAAAATACAAGTAGTATTTCAAACATTAATTTGTGGCAGCCCTGATTGAATTGACAATTTAGATTCTAAGTGCTTGATAGATGACACGTTGAACTATGACCAGCAACCATCACAACGTCCTGATTATTTCAGCAAACCCTTTTAAGGAAATTGCCTCCTGTGGGCACACATGGAGAAGTTCAACTTAATTTAGAAGCATTTTTAACTCAAACCATGCACAAATTAAGGCCCCCTAACCAATATTTAAGGCAGTTGGATCAATGCATTATGGAGAAAACAATAGGAGATAACAGACCTCCCTATAAACGTAATTTGATTAATCCCATTTATTAAATTCATATGGACAACCAAATGATAACCTAATCATCTTTTCCCAAAATGTATTTTTTTCTTCCGAAAAGCTAACATGAAAAAGATTGGCAATTTCCAAATGAGGAAAAAAGAGAAAAAAACTGATTGGTATGGGCAAGATGGGAATTGAATCTGCTATGGACTTTAGTGTCCGAGTCTAAAGATCAATCTATACAGACCGCTTATTAGTGTGAAAAAAAAAAATCAAAGTTGTTGGTTTGTGTATGATGGCCAACGAAATGAGTTAATGAAGACTGTCTAATTCAATTTGTGCTGCCCAAATATGTTGATTCTTAGGTTCTAGACACGAAGGTTCAGAGCGGATCCAATTTCGGCAAGATGGGTCTCTTTTCTAGTCAGTTAGTGCCGAAAACATGGACCAGTATATCAAGTGTCACAACACAATTAATTAAAAAAATTTTAAACCAATTATATTATGACACTTGATAAAAAATTGTGTTGTAATATCAAGGATTTTATTAAAAAAAAAATTTATTCTTCACACCTTATATAAAATATAAAAGTGACATGGGCAAGATTGCAAAAAGGGGGGAAACGCTAGGGTAAAATAGGGAACGTGTGGTTAGATTTTTGGTCCTTGTATTTTAATTTGCTTTTTCTGACAGCTATCCCTATGAACATTACATTACCCCACCAGCAATAATTACCACTGTATTAATTGATCGTAGACCAAACACGCCCTCAACGAAGACCAATAAAGCTCTTTCTCTCTCTCTCCCTCTCTCTAACTTTCTCTCTCATCAGCAGCTTCACAAACAGAGCTCAAGCTCTCTCAAGCTCAAACTTCATCTCTTTCGGCAGTCAAATCGGAGCTTCCGAAAATGTCGCTCTCGGCACAGTAAGAGTTCCCCAATTCTCTGTTTTACTTCACTTGCTAGGTTACTGTTCAAATTCTGAGATCTGGGTTGTCTAGGGTTTCTCTGGAGCTTGCTAAAGGTGATAAATCTCTGAGCTTTGGAAGTGACAGTTAGGGTTTAGGGTGGTACTTGGGGTTAATATGGAGCGTGTTTGTAGGGGGAAGAAGATCTGGGGCGTATGAGGGTGAGAGGGGTTGTGTTTTGTATTGGCACTGGCTTTGGATGAGATTTTCCCAAAAGGGTAGTTGATTTTTTTTCTGGTTTTTTGCTTTGGGGGGGTGGGGGGTGGGCTTTTTTTGTTTTTTTACAGCATTTGATGATATAGAGGTGAAGGGGCTCAGTATGGGTGCTAAATATGTTTAAGAAATAAGGAGGGACTAGTATTTGAATCTTTGTTTGAGTTGGGTTTGAAGGGGGTTTCAGTAGGTGGTGAAAGAAGGTTGCTTTTTTGGATTTTCAAACAATGAGGCTTTTGTCTTCGTCCTCGTCTCCGGGTTTTAATCATCAGCCTCAGGAAGGTATGCATTTGTTCCTTATTTGGTTCTTTCACTTTTTGTCATCTGAAATTTAATACTTTCATCGAAGCGTTTGTTATTTCACTCTGAGCATTGTCCTGCTTGCTTTGATGCTATTTTTGTTTGGGGTCTGAAGTTACTGAGCGTACGTGTTAGGCAATTTTTATATGTGCATGTCTTAATTAATAGGTCATTGAACATGCCTACTCTATATTTGCTTTACTAGTGGTTGTGTCTCTTTGTGTAGTTATTTCATGGTTAAGAAAGTGACACTTTATGCATAAATTACTTGTATGTTTGAGAAATTAAGTTTGGTGACTGAACACACAACTTATTATTTTACAATTATCTTAACTGCCCACAATGCTGGATGGAATTCGAGCTGGAAACGTGTTATAAGATTGAATTGGTTTAGGATTTTGAATCTATGGATGCTTATTTCATGCGTACTGACACAAGCATAGAAGCTATTGCAGAGGAGAAGAAATGTTTGAATTCTGAGCTATGGCATGCGTGTGCCGGGCCTCTGGTGTCTCTGCCTCTTCTTGGAAGTCGTGTAGTCTACTTTCCACAGGGCCACAGCGAACAGGTAAGCAACTGCATCATTATCTTATTTATTGTTGAATGCAGATTTTTCTTTCTGATCGGTATTTGCAGAAAACAATTGTCTGGTTTGCAGTTTGTAGACTAGGGACGTTTGTTGTTTGTTGATTTAAGGACTTAGTCTCTTGGTACCATTGTCTTGTTTTTGTATCTCCCTGCATCTTGATTATTGAGAGCATATCTTAAAATGAATAATTATTCTTGTGATCTTGGAGTCTGCAGACTAAAATTAGTATGCATTTTAAGGCATGCTGTGTAATCACAGGTGTATGTTCATTTATAAAGGATGATTTGTTCCTATAGAAAATAAATAAATAAATAAATAAAGGATGAATTAGAGCTTATTTTTTCGTTACTTGTTTGTATTGTTTTTGTTTGATATTGTGCATCATGTATATAGCTACAAATTTGTATATTAAGCATTTTATACAAATCATTACCTCAGTTACTATAATGTAGTCCAGTACTTTTTAAGTACACTTGTTGTTGCTCAAACAGCTGAATCTTCTAATATTTAACTAATCATTTCGTCCTGAACACTAACCTTACAGAGTATCCTTTTTGCGTTGTTAATTCTTGGTATTTCTTATACAGGTTGCTGCATCAACCCACAAGGAAGTGGATGCCCATATTCCCAATTACCCCAGCTTGCCTCCGCAACTAATTTGTCAGCTACACAATGTGACAATGCACGTACGTGTCAGCCTGTTTATGTGTTCTCTGTACAATTCCCTGGGACGCTTCTTAAAATTTTAATTCTATGGTACAGGCAGATGTAGAGACGGATGAAGTATATGCTCAAATGACCCTACAACCATTAAGTCCGGTACTGCATTAGGCTGGTTTTAAATTTCGATTTGTGAGTCAAGTAATTTTCATGTCCTGACATAAACTGTTTTGTAGCAAGAGCAAAAAGATGTATACCTACTGCCTGCAGAGTTGGGTGCTGCCAGCAAACAGCCAACCAACTATTTTTGTAAAACTTTGACTGCAAGTGATACTAGCACACATGGAGGATTCTCTGTTCCCCGCCGTGCAGCTGAAAAAGTTTTTCCCCCTCTTGTATGTGTCCTTTTCTTTGACTCATTTGATCATCTCTCTTCCATTCTTTATTTTTTCGTCATGTACTTAGTTTCATTCATTTTATTTTACCGTTCCTCAGGATTATTCGCAGCAGCCCCCTGCTCAGGAACTAATTGCAAGGGATCTTCATGATAATGAATGGAAATTCAGACACATATTTCGAGGTGAGTATAATTTTCTTCGGTATTCTGTTTTGTATCTGCTGTCAGTATCTTTTATCATTTTCACATATCACTCTTCAAGTCTGTTGATCTATCTTAGATGCCAAAGTAACTGAGGGCAGTTGTCCTTCACACACAATTCAGACACTTCGTGGTTCTAAATCTCAAAATGAAAATTTTGGGGAAATTTTATATTTACTGGCATGAGTTATATCCAATATCCAAGTCATGATTGTCTCATTAAAAACATGTTAAATGTCTTATTTACTTGAACTTAGCTTTCTATACCCAGGTTTTTCTTGTTTTATTTCTTATTTTTCAATTTATACTCTGGTTTGACAAAAGAAAATTTTTTTACTGTCTGTAATTCTGAACATGTAATTCTAGCTTCTAATTGCGTTTTGCCATGTTATTGTGCAGGCCAGCCCAAGAGGCATCTTCTCACGACAGGATGGAGTGTGTTCGTTAGTGCTAAACGACTTGTTGCTGGTGATTCGGTCCTCTTTATCTGGTAAGTTTAAACTGTTATTCTGTTATTGGAGGGTTGGTGGTGGTTGTATTTATTCCGTCAAGAATTGTTGTAATCATTTTCCTCTCACTAACGTGTTGTCTTCAATCAGGAATGAAAAGAATCAGTTGCTCTTAGGTATTCGGCGAGCAAATCGTCCACAGACTGTCATGCCCTCATCAGTTTTGTCAAGTGACAGCATGCACATTGGTCTTCTTGCTGCTGCAGCTCATGCAGCTGCAACAAATAGCCGCTTTACTATATTTTATAATCCGAGGTGAGCATCTGCTCCTGATTGTAAATACTACTATTTACCTCTTATTCCTCAATTTTCTATTTTCTTACAATGCAGGGCAAGTCCATCTGAATTTGTGATACCCCTGGCCAAATATGTTAAAGCTGTCTATCACACTCGGGTTTCTGTGGGCATGCGATTTAGGATGCTGTTTGAGACAGAAGAGTCTAGTGTCCGTCGGTGTGTTATTTCTCCTCGTAGTTCAGTTTCATTATACAGTTTATGATTCACATTTAATTAAGTGGTTATTCATACTTGTATTATACTATTATCTGGGTTATTTACCTTTCTTATTTATTTTGTTTGTTCTTTTCCTTAAGATACATGGGTACAATAACTGGCATCAGTGACTTAGATTCTGTTCGCTGGCCAAATTCTCACTGGCGCTCTGTGAAGGTGTGTTGAAAGCATTTGGTGATTATGATGCTCATTAGAATTCCAATATTTGCTATTATAAATTTTACGATCTTTTGATTGAGGTGTGGCCAGTTTTTTAACTTTTTGAAACTTTGTAGGGTTTGTAAACATGTTTTCTGCTAATGCAGGTTGGCTGGGATGAATCCACTGCTGGGGATAGGCAGCCAAGAGTATCATTGTGGGAGATTGAACCACTAACAACATTCCCAATGTATCCATCCCCATTCCCCCTCAGACTAAAGCGACCATGGCCATCGGGTGTTCCCTCTTTCCACGGTATCTTTGGTTTTTTGCTTGAGGTATAGTCACAAAATTCTACTGTTTCTTTTGCCCCTTAAAATATTCAGTGGTATATTCATTTCAGGTCTCAAAGATGGTGATATGGGAATTAATTCTCCACTGATGTGGCTTCAAGGAGGGCTCGGAGACCAGGGGATGCAATCTTTGAACTTCCAGGGATTTGGAGTTTCTCCTTGGATGCAACCAAGGCTTGATGCGGCTATGGCAGGTCTACAACCCGATCTATACCAAGCAATGGCAGCCGCTGCACTTCAAGAAATGAGGGCGGTTGATTCTTCAAAAGGTTCTTCACAGTCTCTTCTGCCCTTCCAGCAATCTTCAAGTGTTTCTAATGGAGCTGCTGCTGTGCTTCAAAGACAGGTCTTGCCTCAGTCTCAGTCTCAAAATGCTTATCTTCAGAACTTTCAAGAAAACCAAGCTCCTGCTCAGGCTCAGGTTTTGCAACAGCAGTCGCAGCGTTATCATCCCTATAGTGATCAGAGGCAACAGCAGCAGCAACAGCATCAGCAACAACAGCATCAGCAGCAGCAACAACAGCAGCTGAATCAGCAGCAGCAACAACAGCAGCTGAATCAGCAGCAGCAACAACAGCAGCTGAATCAGCAGCAGCAACAACAGCAGCTGAATCAGCAGCAGCAGCAGCAGCAACATCAGCTTCAACAATCCCATCATCTGCACGAATTGTCTGTTCAGCAGCAGATCCCGAATGCTATGTCTGCTCTACCTAATTTTGCCTCAATCACTCAATCCCAGTCTGCATCTATACAGTCCATCTCTTCACAATCTCAGCAGCAGAGCTTTCCTGACCCTGTTGGAATTCCTATACCTTCATCTGATGTCCCCCCTATACATAGTATATTAGGTTCGCTATCACAGGATGGAGCATCCCACTTACTTAACTTAAGTGGATCCAACTCAGCAATTTCTTCTTCCTTGTTACCCAAGCAGATCACTGGTGAACCACAGCTATCATCTGGAGCTGCTCAATGTGTACTTCCCCAAGTGGAACAGTTGGGAACACCACAGTCAAGTTTTTCTGAGTTCACTGCCTTGCCTCCATTTCCTGGTAGAGAATATTCTGCATTCCAAGGTGGTACTGATCCCCAAAGCAATCTTTTGTTTGGGGTGAACATTGATTCATCATCTCTCATGCTGCATAATGGGATTCCAAACCTGAGAAATGTTGGCAATGGAAATGATTCGTTGTCCCTGCCCTTTGGTGCTTCATATACCAGTGGCACAGGCAATGACTTTCCACTTAATTCCGATATGACTACATCAAGTTGTGTAGATGAATCAGGATTCTTGCAGTCTTCAGAAAATGTGGACCAAGTAAATCCAACTCGAACCTTTGTGAAGGTAAGATGAGATAATTGTGATAGTTTATTTACATGCGTATTTATTCTTAACATTATGGTCGGATGTATGGAGCATTGCCAGAGATTGTATTGGGTAATGCAAATGCATCGTGATCAGTGTTTGCTTTTTCAAAACCAGCACTTGTCATCGGTATCTCTTGTTTTTTCTTTAATTTTTTTTTTAATTTTTAATTTTTATTAAATTGGTGCAATTTGACAGGTTCACAAGTTAGGGTCCTTTGGGAGGTCACTGGATATTTCTAAATTCAGCAGCTATGATGAACTGCGCAGTGAGCTCTCACGTATGTTTGGCCTTGAAGGTCAACTGGAGGACCGTCAGAGATCAGGCTGGCAGCTTGTATTTGTTGACAGGGAGAATGATATTCTTCTCCTTGGTGACGACCCTTGGCAGTAAGTCCCAAATTTTCATGATTTTGCTTATATTTGTCAATTAATGTACGCTCTTGGCTGTTTGCATAAGCAGTTCTGAAGGTTGAGCTTCCCATGAGTTTCAATCATTACTGATGGTTTGTAAAATGATTCATGCTGAATCACTGTGCGTAATTTTAACGTTAAGCAGCTAATGTTATGATTTTATGCTGTATGCCAATTTGTAGAGAGCAACAACGATAAATTTAGACAATGCTCTGAGGTTCAAAGTGTCCTAGGACTAGTTTACATCACCTAGTCTTTTGACTGTTTTCTCACCTTTTCGAGATTTTAAGTTACTATTGTGGATGTCTGTTTCTGTGAGCCAAAGTTGGCTTCTGGAGTTTTGAAACTATTCTTGTCATAATTCACTGGAGGTATAATGATTCTTTATTTATTTTCAGGGAATTTGTGAACAATGTGTGGTATATCAAGATACTCTCGCCTATGGAAGTGCAACAAATGGGAAAGGAAGGCCTCAACCGTGTGGCTTCTATCCCAAACAATAAGCTTTCCAACGGTAGCAACACCTGCGATGACTATGCGAGTCGACAGAAATTGAGAAACTCAAGCAATGGGTTTGCATCTTTGGGATCACTCGACTACTAAAGGCCAATGCTTCGCTAAAAATGGAAAATTACGAAAATTGGCGGCGAATGATGAGTGTTTTAACTATGCTTAGTAGTGTTTTCGTAAAAGGATTGGTAGCATTCTTTTAGCTTTTGTGTGGTCAGTGAGATGTACTGCTTAGGCAAAGTCTATTTGAAGCCTGCATGTCAGCTTATAATTACACACTGTAAATTATAGTAGGAAGGAACCTTGTATCTGAAACTACCGCAACACCATGTAGAACAACACATGTACCGTACGAGTTTGGTGTCCGAGTCCGATTGCACTTTCTATGCTCTCATGTCTTGTAATTTGTTATTAATTAGAGTCGAAAACGTATCATGAATCAGACCGATCAAGTTGATTTACTGTATTGAAAATCTTGAGACTTGAGGTAGGTCTCACCAAGTAATATTTTGCGGACTGCATGCATGTATTATCTAAAGATATCGTTTGGCTGTCTATATGTGAGGATCCATTATTCTTTACCTTGCAAATTTTAGTCTAACACGTACGAAAGTAATTTATGAAAAGATGAACAGAAATACGGCGGAGGGTTCAGGAGGAGGAGAGGATCCCACAAGAAAGAGCCAAAAGAAGAACAAGAAGCTAAAAAACAAGTACACGAAAAACAAGCCAGTGACCACAATTACAAGAAGCTAAACAACAAACTGCACATCAGGAGACAACTAATTAATTGACATGAGTGCAATATGCATTTGCTTCTTCGTACGATCATTTTGTTGTTATGGCGCATAAGCATTGTGGCAGCATCACCATCAGATAAAGGTTCCCCAATAGCAAAGTCTGATTGTGAAACTCATTGCGGAGATGTTAGAATCCCATACCCTTTTGGGATCGGACCTAGCAGCAGTTGTTACTTGTACGATTGGTTTGAAATAGACTGCGACAACTCTAACAGCGTTCCCAAGCCTTTCTTGAACGGAGGCAGATTCTCTGCCCTCTCACTCCTGTGCCCTCCTGTTTTGTATGATCACGGTTAAATCACGTCAACATTTTATATTGTTTTTTTTTATAGAGATAATAAGAGCCTCCTTGAACATCTCCATTCATGCTCTCGATTTTTAGTTAACCAACCTAACCCTACCCTAGATGGAGAAGAGTCTCCTCCCTTTCTCCTTTTCGTGTTCTTGAGAATAGCTCTAACTTGTGGAAGTTGATGACAAAAAAAAGCCTGGATATCCTTTCATGTATTTAAACCCTTCATGGATGAAATTAATTAATTTTTATTTCTTCATTAATTAATTAGGGTTCTTCATTTGTTTCTTTCGTGTCTTCCTGTCGACTTACATCTTTCGCTATTTTACCAATACCTACAAACCCAGACACTATCAATGAGAAGAATCTACTAGAATACTTGTTTGGCCTATTTCTTTTGTTTTTTAATTACCCTTAATACAATATATGCCGGACCCGTGATTAGTAGTAACATTAATTTAATTATGGTGTTTACTTTCTTTCCTTCTTTCGTTGGATTGTTTCATCATCAGACCAAGATTCTTGTTTAATGATTCATGATTTGATTCTTCCTATGATCTTATGGAGTCATGTATATATTCTCCTCCTGCTGTCTTCTCTTGGCGGTCGTTCTGCGCAGCTACGTACTGCTGATCACCTAAATTGCATTCTCCTGGCTACTAGGCTGCAAAAAATTCTAAAAACGACAAAACACTAATGTTAATGTTCAAAGTTCGTGAAGATAACAAAAAATAGATAATACTAGGAAACTAAATTTTTAAACAAAATTTATAAATTAAATAATCTGTCATCAATAGAAATAAAGACGTGTATCAACTCATAAGTTATAATATAATCATCAACTTCCATGTCATTTAGTTTATAAAAGTTTGTCTACAATTTTTTTATTGTCAAATTGTCTACAATTTTAATCTCTTTAGCAGTACCCACGAGAAATTATAAGGTAGTATCGTATTACCACGTCATCTGTGGTACTTCCATTGAAAATTTGACATGTGTACTATTTTATCACAGCTGGACTTGAAATTTATTTTAAGAAATTAAAAATAAATTAAATACCTGAAAAAAAAAAAACAAAAAAACCCAGCGCCAGCGACCCTACCCCTCCGTTGCCGACAAGTCCCCATCCCAGTCCTCTGCCTCCACGGCTCCAACCCGACTTCAAGCCGCTGGTGGCCATATCAGCTGCCTTCCTTATCTCTTCCCCTCTTTCCCTATACAAATTTCAACTAAGACTAATTCTTAAGAGAGTTTAGGATTCATCCAATATCATGAACACATATTCTTCTCTCACCGATTCTTCATAAACTACATAAAACCAGTAAATTCACCCAATTAAGTGTTTTCCTTATCAAAACGCCCTGAAAGGTACTCAGAAATCTGTAAGAGACGTCGTTTTACTAACATCGCTGCCACCAAAGGTACTCAAAATTGCAGAAACGACACTACCAAGATGATAATGGATTGGGATTTCGAATTCGTTGTTATATTCATTGGGTTTTCAAATGAGGACACCAATATGATTAATCCATTGGGTTTTCAAATTATAATTTCTCCTCTTGAACAAAGTTTACAATATAAAACAAGTTGACTGAATGAGATGTAATCCAACTTAGTTATAAACTCATGCAAGGTATCTTCTTTTATCAATGTGAGATTCATTCTCAACAGATACCCTCACATGTGGCGGATTTTAAAGTCAAACATGTGAACATGACAAATGAGAATAAAGTTGAGGTTTTACCATAAAACCAACAATATTATAACCTAATCTCTTATAAACCCATGCAAATCTCTTCTTTCTGTTTGATTCATTCTCTTCTTTCTGTTTGATTCATTCTCTTCATTGCCATCGTATAAAAGACAAAAAAACGGCAACGGGTTCAGAAGGAGGAGAGAATCGAACAAGAAAGAGCCAAAAGAAGAACAAGAAGCTAAAAAACAAACACACGAAAAAACAAGCCAGCGACCACAATTACAAGAAGCTAAAGAACAAACCCGCACATCAGGAAGCAACTGATTGATCAGTCCAATTGTAGAGGTTGCGAGACAACCTTAATTCTCAGAAAGAAAGTTCCATATATACTACGTATTTAGCAAAAATAAGAAACTAAGGGAAAGAAAACAAGGTAGAAGACCCCATTCATGAGTGCAATATGCATTTATTTCTTCGTGTGATCATAATTTCGTTGCTATGGCCCATCAGCATAGTGGCAGCATCATCGTCAGATAAAGTTACACCAGTATTAAAGTCTGACTGCGAATCTCATTGCGGAAATGTTAGCATCCCATACCCTTTTGGGATTGGACCTAGCATCAGTTGTTACTTGTACGATTGGTTTGAAATAGAGTGCAAGAACTCTAACAGCGGTCCCAAGCCTTTCTTGAAGAACACCACGATAGAGGTGCTGGATATTTCAGTTGAAGGCACGCTTCGAGTTGAGCATCCTGTTAGGTTCTTCAACAGAACAATGGTTCCCCAATTGCCAAATTTTACAGGAAGCCCTTTCTTGTACTCTCAGGAACACAATCAATTCACTGCAGTCAGTTGTGGCTTGTTTGCCTTTGTAAAGTCATACCCGGACCAGCGTGTTATTGGTGGATGACTGGATGTATGTCAGCTCGTGATGCGAGTGCCGGGCCTGAAGACAACCATGGATGTATTGGTATTAACTGTTGCCAGATTGCGCTTCCCGGGAATCTCAGTGTGATTGATGCCGATATAAAACCTGAATCCGAAGAAAGCACTATCAATGGAAAGGGAGGAGTATCGGCTCATAATTACGCATTCCTTGTCCAGCAAGACTGGTTTTATCATTATTTATCAAATTTTAGAGACGTCAAGGATATGGACAGCGTTCCAGTGGTGTTAGAATGGAGCCTAAGCTTGGATGACATGACAAGTTCATTGGTCAAATTATACAAGGAGTTCGTCCCAGAATTCGATCTCCTTCTAAACGGATCTCCCCAAATTCGAAAGTTTGATTCCACACCCTTTTGCATAACACATATCACTTCTTATGCATACAATCAGTCAAAAATTATATGTTTTTGTCCGGGTGGGTTTGAAGGGAATCCCTATCTTCTCCAACCTTGTCAAGGTAATTGAACCTCTTCCATTTCAAAGCAATCTTCTTATACGCATGCATGCACAAGTCAATTTCTTGATTTTTTTTAGTTCCTTTTTTCTTCTCTGCTCAAAATTAAACGGAAAAAATTGAAAAGAATAGACCAATGAAGTTATGTACCATGTATTATAAAAGGCTTTGTTTGTTTTTACAAATATTCTTTTCACCACGATCGTTTCATTTTTTGTTATTCTATTATTTTATTTCAGATATAGATGAATGCAATGGTTCTGATCCGTGTCCTGGTATTGGTGCATGGAGTTTGGGTGGCCGTGTTATATGCAAGAATACTTTTGGGGGTCATACGTGCTATTCAAATACAAATGGCTTTGTATGCGATTATTATGGTACAGAAGGTGCATCATGCTACTACTCAAGAGATGACAAAAGCAAATGGCCTAAAAAAATCATACTTCTAGGTATGCTCCTATACTCATCACTGTTGAATAAACTTTTTTTGGTCAAAATCTTAACTATAAGAGGGAGATTCAAACTTGGGTGCAAACTGCAAATAGGGATGACTCACTGCTCTAGGCTCTAACTAACTTGGCTAAACCTTGGTCTAGATGCGAAAACTCTAACTTCTCAACAAGTCTTAAAAATAGACGTCAAGACCGATTCTATCTTTTAGGTGTTCATTCGATTTTAATGAGGCCATATTAAAAACAGATGGAACTCATTCCTAAGTGAGTCTCAACTGTCTATGTCTGGCAACAATATTATATGAATAGTTTTTGTTTTGTTATCTATTTATAATTTCAAGTATGTGTACTTTTATATGCAGGTCTTGTAACGAGTCTCGGAATACTGCCAATAGTTGTTGGTTCATGGTACGTATACAAAGTAATAAAGAAAAGGAGAAAAAACAAACGGAAGGAAATGTTTTTCAAACGTAATGGTGGTTTGTTGTTGGAAAAAAAATTATCATCAGGTGAAAAATTTAAGGTTGAAAAGATCAAGCTGTTCAAATCGAAGGAGTTAGAGAAGTCCACTGATAATTTTAACATTAATCGAATTCTTGGCCATGGAGGTCAAGGTACTGTTTACAAAGGAATGTTGACAAATGGAAGAATCGTTGCTGTAAAAAAGTCCGAAGTAGTGGGCGAAGGCAAACTTTCAGAATTCATCAACGAGGTTGTACTTCTTTCACAAATTAACCACAGAAATGTGGTTAAACTATTGGGATGTTGTTTAGAGACTGAAGTTCCTATTTTGGTTTATGAATTCATACCTAATGGAACCCTTTCTCAGTATATCCAAGGGAATGTTGAGGATTGTCAGTTTCCATGGAAAATGCGCTTACGAGTTGCAACAGAGGTTGCAGGAGCCCTTTCCTACTTACATAGTGCAGCTTCCTTTCCCATTTTCCATAGAGACATCAAATCTTCCAACATACTCTTGGATGAAAAATGCAGAGCGAAAGTTGCCGATTTTGGAACGTCACGATCAATTTCCATTGACCATACTCATTTGACAACACTTGTTAATGGTACGTTTGGTTACTTGGACCCGGAATACTTCCAATCAAACCGATTTACGGAGAAAAGTGATGTGTATAGCTTTGGAGTTGTTCTTGCTGAGCTATTGACTGGTAGAAAACCAGTTTGTTCAATATCCAGGTCACAACGAGAAGAGGACAACATAAGTCTCGCCACACATTTCATTACCTTGATGCACGAAGATCGTTTACTTGACATTGTTGATGCTCGAATAATGAAGGACGGCTCTGAAACAGAGATCAGAGTCGTTGCTAATCTTGCGAGCAGATGCTTAAATTTGAATGGGAGGAATCGTCCTACAATGAGAGAGGTCACAACCGAATTGGAGGCTATCCAAAATTTAAGAAAAAACTTGCGTTGCTCGACCAAATTATTCAGTGGTTTAATTTGTCCAAAATGAAACATTCCTCTTTGGCGGTATGAGGATGCTTTTCCAATTGTGGTCTAATTTCATCTCACTTGAACTTCCACAGTTACATATTTTCAGGTCTTGGTGATCTATATTCATGTCTTTTTGCCATTGAAATAATATTCTGGGATACTGTATATTATAATTTTTATATGCTACTGACTAATAAGTAATATGAAGCTCAGAAATAAACAAGACTTGCTATTAGTACTGATGTTATTATGCTCACCTTTCATTTTCCTTGATGACATAGTCATTTTGTTGGCGATGATCAATAGGATTCTAATACACCTATGTTTATTTTTGGCTTTCTAATTAAATAAATCAAAAAATAAAAATGAACAAGAGTGCAGAAAAAACAAATGGTGTGCTGAAATCGTTTATCGAGAATGAAATCAGATTGCTGATTCTTTAGCTTCATTTGGGGTAGATAGTCAAGGGTGGAGCCGCTATAAGGCCACCATAGGCCTAGGCCTACCTTCACTCTTTCACCCTCTCTAAATAATTTAGGATTAAATATATATGTATTGATAAACTTAGTATTATACTTCTTCTAATTTACAATAAAACTCTTAAATTGTGTTCACCAATGGTTAAAACTAGCAATGAATGCCCGCGGGATGCTGCGGGATTGAAAGAAGAGTGCAATATCTTGAAATAAAAGTAACTGCAAAGGAAATTTACAGTTTGCATCATTGAATCGAACTAAAAACATAGTAATGCCATTAAATCTCTCCTCTCAAAATTATATATCATTGTTTACATGGTTTGCTATAAATAGTAGAATTCAATTAAATACTTTCAATAAGAACAACTGAAGACATTTAAATGGTAATATTGTTAATCACCTGTCAATTTCCTCACATTTATTATCAAATGCACATGCATCGTCATACCGTCTTTGTTGTTGCATATCCTCATCAGCAGCAAGCTGATCTCCTCACGGAAACAAAACCCCCCCAAATCACTAAAACAAAATCTGCACAGAAAACCCATTTGGAAAATTTACTATTCTAAAGACATAATATTCATACAAAAAAATGACCAACGTGAAATCGGCCAAAAAACTTACCAAGAAACCCAACCTTTTCTAGGATTAAGATTTTCTTTGAATGTGCACCAGATTTGCTGTTTTCAGAAGATGTTCTAAGAGAACTGAGCAGCGGTTGCAATTCAAAATGGAAGGTTGCAGTTCTAAATGGAAGTTGTTTTGAGGGAAATAGAAGGAGAGGTTTCTGGTTTTGTCATGGCCATCGTTTTGAGGGAAATGGAAGGTGAGGTTTCTATTTTTGTCATGGCCATCTCAATAGTTGGTTCAAAAGATGTAGGTCCTACAATAAGAAACAAAAAAGATACAGATTAACATTTACGGTGGCTAGAGGCCGCAAACCTGCGAGTCAAATATGGGGAACGATGTCTCCATATCATGTCAATACTTCTTTGAATCCATTACAATGTTGCTTATCCTTATAGAAGCTGAAGACGTCCTGATCATGTGTTGATGCTACAAAAATATACATGAAAGTTGTCATTCACTTGATCCAAATGGTAGTTCTACATATACATAATGCAGAAGACAAAACATAAGGAAACAAATATTGTAGCGGCATAAGTTCAATAATTGCAGCAAGCAAACAAATAGAAACTTTACTGACTTTCAAAATCCAAATAAAAAAATGAAACAAATTGAATGAACTACGAAAGAAAATATATTCACTGAATTAGAACAAACTAATGAAATTGAATTGAACAAAACCCTTACTCAAATTGATTGAATGGTGTTTATGAAATGTAAAGAGAGTATTACTCACAGAACATATTAAGCACACGTCCATACGCATATCTTCTCTTCTCTGTCTCAAATCAAGTTCCCTTTTATATAGGTTCTCAACAAATCAGACCCAAAATCTCCCTTTTTTTACATAGACCAATTTCATCCATCAAAATTTTCATTAAAAATTTTGCACCACCCATGAAAATTAATCGTTGATTCACTAAGAAGAATATGGACAAAGACAAAGGGGATGCATGGTGGATGAGATTAGAAGGAATAGACACGGATAAAAAATTATAAATTTAAAATAAAAAATCATACGAAGAGATCGTTTAACAAGTAATGACAGAAGAGGGGAAGGGGTTAAGAGCATGTGACCTTTCCTTGGCATAAATTTGTACATGAAAGTTTAATTCCAATGAAACAAATATGTGAGTAAAGCAAAAGACATCAAGGTTCCATGTACTGTTTTACAATCATCTCAAGCTGCTAACACAATGCCTAAGATATTTCAGACATAAAGATTTTCATATAAATAAAGCACCTCACCAAAACAATAACTGAGGTTGTGGTATTTGAATCAAGTAGGCAGATGCTTTGCAATGTCTTCTTCAATACCATCTCATATTCCCTTTCCATTTTTCCTGTATGATACAATAAATAAAATTAAGGACATTTTTTAGATATTAGGAGGGAACAAATAGATATAATGGGACATAAGAAAGCACCAACTTGTCAAAAATAATTTATTATTTTCAATTTGATTTAACTTTTCAAATGAAGCAAACCCCCAAGATAACCAAGCAATTCAAACAATCCCTACACAATTGACAAAGACGGTTTGAAAAGGAAAAAATCTATATTTAATCAAACGTACAGATGAAAGCATGGTTAAGATGTATTCTAAGTCAAAAAAACCTTTACTTTCAGAATCTAAATCCAAAAAGGGCCGCGAGGGGATCAGTAAAATACAAAAGGAAAATCCTTCTCTTTTGTCTATTATATGAAAAATCTAAATAAGAGATGGCAGAAGAGGACTATGAAAAGAAAAATGTGCATATGAGTTATGCATCTTGCTTGAATGCTATCTATCAATTGTAATTCCCCAAATCCAAACAAACCCCAAATCAAAATCCCAAAGCCAAACATGGCAACTACATATGTATTAAATTCACAATAATAAATAAGTAAAATTGAGCAAAATTGAGCATCTTCCATCTTCACCATAGCAGGTGGACTCATCTAAACCTTAGCTGAACCAAACCAAAATCAAGATTACCAAAGTTAATTCCAATTGTTAATTTCTATAAAATCATACCTCAAAAGGTAAAACAAAACGAAACTGAAGGGTTTTACATGGATTTGGGAATGCAAGAATTTGAATTTCCAAAAACCCACTACTATAAAAACCCCCAAAATCCTGAGATTTATACCCAAAAAAGAAAGAAAATTTCCAAAACATGAAACCCTAAAAACCAAAAACCCACAAATCTGCTCTCATTGAGGAACCATCCAAGATTCAAATCGGAGAAATCGCATAGAAGGGATTGGAGATTTATCACACACCGACCTGGTAGAGGCAAACCACACCCCCCTGTTGGAAATATGCCCTGAAAGTCAATCTTTGGAAGAAACCTTTCAGGACAATGAAATGATGTATATATGACTCTTATACATCGGAAGGCAAAGATACTAATTGGGACTATCTCAATGAACGAAATATGTCCTAAATAGTGAATCCATGGACAATGGATCGATGGAAGAAGTAACCTAATGATGTTAGGTTACAGAGACCTTCTTCTCATAACCATCATGTCCAAAAAGGTTCCTGGTCATAAGGATTGTCGGAGGGATACTGACAATCCATAGACTGGTACATACTATGTCCGCTTCAATTGGAAGGATGGAAAGTCTCATCCCATTCGTGTAGCGACACTAAGACAAGCATGTAGGTGCTCATTAAGGGAATGAGTTCACTGAACACAATCGAACGAGAGTACTTGCATGGAGGTCTACTCACATGTCAAGCAAGTAACTCTAATGGTTGGAATAATGTAAGTAATCCTTTGACCTGAGGCATCTCGTTGTCTTGTGGTTAAGTACTTAATCTTTGATTATGTTAAAGTCATTCCATTCGAGAGTGTCCAAGGCATCGTTGGGGTTAAGCCACTTAGCCATGAAGGCAAGTGAATGCGCAACAAGGAATCTCTAATCTTCGATAAGAGAGGATGAATACTCTAAGATATGATTCGGGAATCTTCGGCCGAAGTATCGAGCGTAATAAAGGAAAGCGTTCCTATACGTCTCAAATGAATCGTATAAGAAGGAATAATCACATTAGGGGTTTGACATTATAAATCCATACCCTAGTAATGTGATTGAGAGTATTGTTTTAGAGAAGGATCGAATTACATTGTAATTCCAACTGAATAGGTTCTCCGAATAACTTCTACATTAGCTTGGGTAGCCATGATATATGATTAGATGTCACTCATGGCTTGTGAGTTCTTCTAGATGATTAAATGTAATCATTAAAAGGAAGGTGAATTAAAAGTAAGTTTTAATTCACTAAGTGATTGGATAATCAATTGGATTGGTGCCAATCACCTCACTGCCTTGCTAATTAGAACCTAAAAGATTGTTCACCGATACACTCTTGTAGTGAGTAACTAATGGATGAAGGAAATAATTAATTGGATTAATTAAGTGTTTTGATTAATTTAGAAAGTCTAAAGAAATCATAAAAGCGATATAGATCGTTTTGGGCTTAAAGAAACGTTCGGGTTTAATCGGGCCCATTGGGCCAAAACCCATTGGGCTTTTATTCAAGCATTGGATGACTTGAAATAATTAAAAGCCCAAAGCCCAAATTAAACACAATAGGCCGGCCAAATGAGAAGGGAGAGAGAGTGAGTCAATTGTTGACTTGTTTCTTTAAGAAATAAAAGGAACATAATAATGAAAGTGGGTGAGGATCTTTAGAGGTTTTCATATCTTTGGAAACTTGAAGAGGACCTAGGAGCACTCATTCTCAACAAAGTGGAGGAGGCAAGGAGGGAGGCTAGGCTCAAGGAGTTCAAGGAGCAAAGAGCTTGGAGGTGGTCAATCCTTGGTCTTAGATCTAGATCAAGAGGTACAAAACTACTCCTAAACTTTGTTCTTCAATAAATTGTTTTTGATGCATCTTATATAAACCTATGCATCTTGAAGGGGATTTGCATGACTATAGCTTTGATAAAATGTATGACATGCTTCCGTTGCTTTCGTATATAAATTTTGAATTGTATATGCATGCTAGTCACTAGAAATCCCACATAAATCTCATATTTTCCCTTCAAGTGGTATCAAGAGCCAAAGGTTTATGTATGATGTGTCCTTTTAGATTTTATGCATATGGGTTTTAATTTTATGTATGTCATATTATTGCTTCATTCAAAATATGTTTATCTTTTGTTTTTTTTTCAAATTGTTGAAAAATTGTAAATCAAAAGTTGAAAAAGGATATGCAAGAAAAGTGTTTTTGATGCATGAATGAAGTTTGAGTTTAAATTGTTTTTCATTCAAAATATGTTTATCTTTTGTCTTTTTCAAATGTTGAAAAGGTGTATCAATAGTTGAGAAAGATATGTATGCAAAAATGTTTTGGATGCATGAATGAAAAGAGGGTTTAGAAACAAAAATTTTGGGGTTTTGTTCTTCAAAGGGGGTTCGGCTAAATGGGGATTTTTTGTTAGTGTTTGTGTTTTGTTTTGAACCTCACACACACACTTTGAAGCTAGAAAGTAGTGATCTTGTCACTTTTGTTTTTTGGGTTTGAAAAATCACCAAGAACATACAAATCTTGAAAATATGTTCATGGTTTTGTTCTTGGTGTTCATGGTTTGTTTTTGGTGAAAATGGTTTTACATGCATTGTTTTGTGGTTATGGATGATGTACATACCATCCATAGCCTACACCAAAATTTAAATTAATACCTAGAATTGTCTAGATATATATTTCAATCATTCTTTTTCTTAAAGTCCTTAAAACAAAATTAAGTGGCAAACAAGATATATTTTTCTTCTTTATGTTGAAATAATGCAAGATAGGTGAGACCTACCCACTTCCCCTTAATTTGGCCGGCCATCCCTAGTGGATTTTCCACTTGTGGGGTTTTTGTAATTTATAGAAAAGTTTGGTATTACTTTTAGTATTTATGGTTTGACCCCTAACTTTTTCATATTTGCATTTAGACCCCTACTATTTAAAAATTGAAATGTTTGATTTTAATTTTATTTAATGTTTAAACTCATCATTGAATTATGCCCATATGCACTAAATCTAATTGTTTATATGTTGCATTCCATTTGATTATTTAATATGATTGAGTAATTAGTAAATGGGTGACTATGGACTTATGCCTTAAACGATAATTGAGCTATGAGATAAGGCGCTAAAATCAAATTGTTTGAACCATGGGAATGTGTTTTAATTACTGTTTCAATTGGACCTTGTCACGTTTCGACATTAATCTATCTCTCCCTCTTAGTATATGTAATTTGTAGGAATTTGTACAAATCGGTTTGTAATTCTTATTACTTCTTAATCTCTTTTAGTTAGTTGATTCCCTCTAGTGCTAGACTAGAGTTTCTTTAACTATTGGTAAGGAGACATAACTAAAAGAGGGTTTTGACATGAGATTCAAGATTAAATGGGTCCAACGCCCTAATAAGCAATGAATGATTGTCTTTCATTTCTAATGGCTCAATGAAAATGTTTTAATTGGATTGAAAAGCACGTAATTAAAATGACACAACCTCCCCGAGATCTTATTCAACAATGTTGGCTCGTTGTTGCAATAACCCAATAAGTCCATGGTCATCCAAGAGCCTAAGATAACTATAAAGTCCAATTTCAAAGGATTGCAAAACCCGTAGTAGTAGTAGTTACTTCCAATATTTGAAAAATTCGTTTTTGATATTGATTTGTTTTTCTCAAAACAAATAGTGGGAGTATCATACGCTACTAAACTATAATGATTTCAATTAGTAGTTATATATATCTCCAATATTTTGAAAAATGTTTTGATATTGATTTGTTTTATGAAAACGAATAGTGGGGATATCATATGCTACTAATTTCATTAACTTTGGACTAGTAGTTGTAATAGGACAATTTATTTGAATATGTTTAAATAAATAAAATTGATGAGACCTTAAAATCCCTCAACAAACGAATATTAAGTTGATAAACGAGAGATGTTTTTGAACATTTCTTCGTAGGCCTTCCACCGTGGTGGGCTCCAATCGTTTGTGACTTGTACACCGGCTCCACCCTATCATGGGGGAGTACAAAGTGCATGCTTACACTCAGGAGGAGTCCATGAACATATGATGAGGTAAGTGTAGGCAACGAGGATAGCCAACATCGTATCATCGTGAGGTTATTCTTGAACCCCTACATGAACTAAGCATGGTGGGAATAACTTAACTAAGTGCAATAATGCCAACATCGTATCATCGTGAGGCAACATTCTCTAGAGGCCAAACTAGATGGGTAATTACAAAAGTTGTAAATGGGTAATTGTACCCTCTCATTATTATTGTTGCTAGCCAACATC